CAGAATGACTTGGTCGTGCCTGGATGTTTTTGTTTTGTAAGCCAGTTGTAAGGCTGAGCTGCAAGGAGATGAGGATTATGGTAATATAATTACTAATACAAGGTTGGCCAAAGTGATTGTGTATGCCAAGAAAAATGAGATGCCTCAGAATGAGTCAACACATTCATTTCCCAAACAGTTTGGCTGTGCAAGGCAGATAAAACAGTATTTATAAGGGACTGGTTACAAGATGGTTCCTAATAGCTTTCAAACGACGTTATCTTGTTCTGCCATATCATGATAAAGCAATAAATAGACAACCAAGGTGAAGCCCTGCTGAAAACACCCACTTTGTCCCAATAATAAAAGAGCTTAATACAAGCAAAATACTAGTTGTTCCCTGTTAGATGAATTCCAAAGCTGGAAAAGTGGCAGGGCCATGAGCACCACCCCCTGCAGGGGTTTGGCTGCCTGGGTTCGAGGCCAGAGCTGACAGCAGCTCACGTGTGTCATGTGGGGCTGCTGTGGAAGGAACTGTGTGAAGGTGCTGGGCCCATCCCTCTTTGCTCAGGAGCTGCCACAGAAAGGGACTTGGGGTCCTGGTCAATGGCAAGTTGAATATGAGCCAACAGTGCCCTGGCAGGAGGGCCAGCCATGTCCTCCTGGGACAGCAGGCACCAGGCTGGGTGAGGGAGGGGATTGTCCTGCTCTGCTCTGCCCTGGGGCAGCCTCATCTCAACATTGGGGCAGTTTGGGGCACCACAATATAGGAAAGATATGAGGCCATTAGAGAGTGTCCAAAGGAGGGCAAGGAAGATGGGGAAGGGCCCTGATTTGAAGCCATGTGAGGACACTGAGGGCACTTGGGGTGTTCAGCTGGAGCAGAGGAGACTGAGGGGAGACCTCACTGCAGTTCCAACTTCCTCGGGAGGGGCAGAGGAGGGGCAGGGACTGAGCTCTGCTCTGGGGGGACCAGGAACAGCACCCAGGGAACGGCTGGAGCTGTGTCAGGGCAGGGTCTCAGGAAAAGGTTCTTCCCCCAGAGGGTGGTTGGGCACTGACCAGGCTCCCCAGGGCAGTGGGCACAGCCCCAAGGCTGCCAGAGCTCCAGGAGTGTTTGGACAACGCTCTGAGGGACAGGGTGGGATTGTTGGGGTGTCTGTGCAGGGGCAGGAGTTGGACTCAGTGATCTTTGTGGGTCCCTTCCTTCTATGATTCTGCATTTCAGCTGAGACATTTCCCTTGGTCCTTGTCAAGCTACACTGCAGCTCTACCTCTGCCTGGCACCTCACTCACCTGAACTGACCCTTCATTGACTGGCTTCATCCCTACAGACACCCTGGGGCATCCCTGCACTGGCTGACCACGTGTCCTGTCCCTGGACCCACTCCTGTCCCTGGGTTGGCTTTCTGGCATTGATCTTGGACCTACCTCATTCCCACAGACTTCCCAACTGGCCACCCTCAAACGGAGCTGCTGTGCTCCTCGTCTGGGGACTGTGGGACAGCACTCCTTGCTGGTGAGGTCCCTGCCCTGCTCTCATCTGCAGTTCCTGCTTTGTCTTCCCTAAAGGTAGGACAGGGTAAGGGTGGATATTAGGAAGAAATTAATCCCTGTGAGGGTGGTGAGGCCCTGGCACAGGTTGCCCAGAGAAGCTGTGGCTGCCCCTGGATCCCTGGAAGTGTTCAAGGCCAGGTTGGACGGGGCTTGGAGCAACCTGGGCTAGTGGAAGGTGTCCCTGCCCATGGCAGGGGGTGGAACGAGGTGAGCTTTAAGGTCCCTTCCATCCCAAACTATTCTGGGATTCTACTGTTCCTAGAGTAACCCACTTGTGCTGCTCCCAGACATAAATCTCAGTTACAAGCCTGGCAAAAGTAAAAGCTATTATCTGGATCCCACCTAATGGGAATGTAATATGGAAAACAACATCAGTACAAAGTTACTCCATCATAATAAGCAAGATGAATGAAGTGACAGATCAAACCCATTTCATTTTACATCCCTATTTAACTGGTTTACGTACTGTGCAGCTTTCCTTCTCCCTCCCTCATCAATAACACTCTGCTCAAACACTGAGACAAACCCTGGGCGTGTTACTCTAAGCTGTTAATTCATCCTGACCTTACAACAAGGATCACATCACCACTCTGCTGGCTTTCACAGGGCTCTAGATGCTCACATCAGTTCTGAATGAGATCCAAAGATCCAAATGTGGGAACTGAAAGAGGTCCAAAGATTCAAATGTGGTCAAGGGGCCCAGTTTCAGAAGAGATCAACTCATGCCAGTCTTAAATTTCACTGAAAGTTTTCCTGGTGAAGGGGAGCAGAAAAAACCTAAACCATTAAAAAAAACAGGTTCTTCCATGCATTATTTTTAAAACAAAGAGGTGGGACAGATGGCAAAAGTATTGATACCTAAAGACACAGATGTGACAGGCAGAATTCTTAGAATGAACCCAATGATTTCCCAGGAAACTTGGTACCTGCATAACCTGAAAATACACTGGATCTCAGCCCCTTCCTCAGGAGCTGAAGTGGTCCTGGAAGTTAGTTCTCAGTCTCCCAAGTTACCTGCACTGTTTGGAAAGTGTTATCCCCAACACTGACTCTCAAAGTGAAGCTGAGGACAGAGTCTGACTGAACTAGGTTAAGAAAAAAACCAGAGCACATTAAATCTGAGTTTCACTGCTTTTATATTTTAGACAAGAACTCTAATGTAACCCTAATGCAGCTTTTTAAATTTTCTTTGCTAGTCTTTTTCAGCATCTCAGCTACAGTAATTGCAGAGTTTCTAAACTCTCTCTCTGATTATTATTCAATTCAATAATTTATGTACATTATAAATGGTCAGAGGAATTCTGGAAACTATGACAAGTGTTCCAGATCTGAACATCTATCACTGCCAAAACAAAGGACTTACAAAACAAATTTGAAAGTGTGCTACTCTGTCAAATACTGGGGCTTGTTCTTTGAATATACATGTTTATATATAGATATTAGATATTTTCACTGAGACATAGCTGCCAAATTATAGCTTCTTTAGTTTTAAATGTCAAAACATTCAAGTTTTTCTATGTTCAGAAAAAAAGAAAGAAAAGAAAACCCTGTTCTAATAAAAAAAAAAAAGCTGCTATCAAGGGGGATTTCAAGTGAACTTATAAAGGACTGTTACATTTGATACATGATGTTGACACATTTTTCATTCTTAATTTTACTAATGAATATTCCTAAAGCAGAACTAAGAGCAAAGTTGTCCACAGAACAGAGTTATTCCAGGTTGTGCTGGCTTGTTTTGCCCGGCAGTGCCTCGGGAGGTCAGGCAGAGGCTTCCCCCAGGCAGGCTGGCAGTTAATTTAGAATCATGGAGTGGTTTGGGTTGGAAGGGACCTTAGAAGTCTTGTCCCACCTTCCACTAGCCCAGGTTGCTCCAAGCCCCGTCCAACCTGGCCTTGGACACTTCCAGGGATGGGGCAGCCACAGCTTCTCTGGGCAACCTGTGCCAGGGCCTCCCCACCCTCACAGGGGAGAATTTCTTCCCAATATCCCATCTAACCCTGCCCTCTGGCAGTTCAAAACCACTGCATCTTGTCCTGTCACTCTCTGCCTGTATAAAAGTCCCTCTCTCTCCCTTTAGGTGCTGAGAGCAGCTTCCATGGGCAGCAGAAGGCTGTAAACCCTGGGCAGCAATGCCCACGTCCTACTGCCATGACCAGCTGGCAGGAGCATCACCAAATCTATCAGGGGCATATTTACACTGCCATTCAGCTACAGCAGAGCCACACCCTGAGCTGCACTCCAGAGAAACCCCATTACCAAGCTGTTCTCTTCATTTTATTGGCTTCAGCACAGCAAATATGGGAAATGACCACGATACAGAATAATTCCGCATTGCTTGGTGCATTGTCAGGAATGAGATAGCAAGGCTCAAGTAGATTTCTGATGAGCAAGTAAGTGCCTGCATCTTAATAAGGGCTAACTGGAACTGGGTGGTACCTGACAGCAGCAAGAGGCTGAAGGATTCACAACCTTACACTCCCAAAACAGAGCTCTGGGCAGCGCCCTGACCTTGTCAAAGCAGGCTGGTGGAGGGAAAGTCAACTGGCAGTTTGTTAGTCCTTTACTCCTCATCAGTGATTAATCCAGTGTTAAATAAAATGAGCTTTCAAATCTCCAGAAACACAGCAGTCAAGTTACAAAACAAACCTGAACGGTCCAGCCCCCAATTTGGGGTTGTAAGGTCTTTAAATTTTTGTACTGACAGAAGAGCTTTGTTATTGCTATCAGCCCAAATAAATCATTATGGACAAATTCTGGAGTTTCTCATCTCCTCTGACCTTCTCAGCTGCCCCTGTGTTCAGTGAACTCAGTGAAAGGATGAAGCAGGACTGCATATCACAGCATCGTGGAATGACTTGGGTTGGAAGGGACCTTAAAGACCATCTTATTCCAACAAGACATAGCAAACCTTCTCAGGAGGAGAACCAGCCCTGTCCTCCAAGCCTTATTTTAGGCTTTGGGAAAAATCAGGATAATTTCATACTCCCTTAATCAGGAGCAAAATCTATTATTAAATTCACAGTCCTCGAAACCTACCCACTAAATTGACCTATAAAGCTGCTGGGGGCAGACAACCAGACAGGACTCAGCATCAGCTTTGCTTTAGGAGTATGACAGTAAAAAATATTTCACTTTTTTAGAAAAAGTTATGAAAAATCCTGTGGGAGAGCCTGGTTCCCATGAAGTAGATGACACTGAGCACACCGATTTCAGCAAGCTGGGCTCCTGCTATATTGTGACAGGTTAAAACTCGTGGGCAGCTGCATGGGGAGCACTCCCTGCACAGGAAAGTGGAAAAAATACAATTAGTGTGAGAGAAGAGCTGTGGAACTGCTCATCTCATCAGGTAATGGTGCTCCATAACAAACAGATTTTAAATAATGCAACGAAAATTACTTTTTGCTCTAGGATCACACTTGCCCATAGCCAGGAAGCCACTGTGAAAGGCACGGGCAGCCACTGACCATGTGGAACAGAACTGGGGTGTTCTCTGCCATGGGCTGCTTCCCAGACACTGACTGCTGAGGCTGCAATCCCTCCAGCTGCTCCTGGAATCTGAGTCTCCTCTGTCTCTCTTTCATCTGCTCTTCTTTTTGGGATAGCTCTCTTTCACTTTCTTGTGTCCTGAAAAACATAGAGATTCTGCTTTGCTTTAAGCTTTTCACTTGGGAGAAAAAGCCACTTGCTCATCTGTTTGCACTGCTTTTTTTTTTTCTTGTATTTATACCACACACTTTAGAGTCAAACATGACATGAAAGGCTAAAATAGATTTAGAAAGATTTTTAGGTGGTTGTGGGGGGCCACAAGAATTTGTCATTGGATGAAATCATCTCTCTGAGAAAAACACCCAACCTCAAAGCAAAGGAGCAGAGCTCAAACCTCTGATAAGTGGTGATGATCTATTTGGAGATCAAAATTCCTTTAAGCAGAGATGTGTTAGTGACGTTTCACTCCCCATCTCCACACCAAAATTCTCAGTCTAACCCCAATTCCTTTCCTATCTGCTATAGGATAAGACAGTGACAAGTTTCCCTGACCCAAGACCTTCCATCTTTCTACATTTCGATGCCTGCAGGAAGATTTCCTCTGCCATGGAGTTCAATTTCTTCTGAATTCTTCCAGCCCCAGGCACCCCAAAAATAACGAGAATAGCAAGAAAGACAACTGAAATCAGTTAAAATCATTGTGAGCTCATCATCATCATGGCTGGGCTTCACGAACGAAGATTTGGGAAGGCTTTATCCACATTTGTTACAGGCACGTTGGTGACTTATGAGGCCAATACATGACAGACATATCCAATTGCAGAAGGCACAGCAGAAAGACTCCTTAGATGGTGTATTCTGCAAGACACGGTTCTTCCTGCGTTGCCTTTTCTCCTCGGGAGTGACCCTGCGTGTGTTCTCAAAGGCATCAGCAGCGTTATAGACGGGGTGTCTCCAGGCCTCCCGATTGGAGGCCAGAGTAGACCAGTTCTGGTGATCAATATGGCCAAGGCTGAGATGTTGTTTCAGGGAGTCCTTGAATCTTTTCTTCGGGGCTCCTCTCTTGCGGCAGCCGGTGGCAAGTTCACCATAAAGCACGATCTTAGGGAGGCGGTGGTTGGTCCTTCATCCTGGAGACGTGCCCTGCCCATCACAGCTGTGTTCTCATCAGCATGGCCTCAATACTTGTGACTGCTGCTTGCTCAAGAACAGATGTATTGGTCACGTAATCTGACCAGTGGATGTTTAAGATTGTTCAGAGGCAGCGTTGATGGAAGCGTTCAAGGAGATGCAGGTGGTGGCAGTAGATGACCCAGGATTCAGATCCATATAAGAGTAGACAGCACTATGGCTCTGTAAACACTGATCTTGGTGCTTTTCTTCAAGTGTTTATTACGCCATACTCTTTCGTGGAGTTTTCCAAAAGCACTATATGCCTTTGCTAACCTGTTGTCTATCTCCCCATCAATCTTACCACCTGAAGAGATGAGGCTACCAAGGTAATTAAACTGCTGGGCTGATTTGAGCTCTGATTGGCCAATGGTGATGTGGGGATGATGGGGGACTTCCTGAGGTGCAGGTTGATGGAGAACCTCTGTCTTCTTTAAGCTGATTTCCAGCCCAAAGAGCTCAGCAGCATCTGCAAAGCAGGATGTTAAACGCTGCAGAGCTGCTTCTGTGTGAGTGACAAGGGCGGCGTCATCAGCATAAAGCAGCTCCTGGACAAGATGGTTTACGGTCTTGGTGTGGGCCTTCAGACGCCTTAGATTGAATAGACTTCCATCAGTATGATATCAGATGTAGATCCCATCCTGATCATCGAGGTCTGCTGTGGCCCTTTGGAGCATCATGCTAAAGAAGATTGTGAATAAGGTAGGAGCGAGAACGCAGCCTTGTTTCACACCATTCTTAATTAAAAAGGGCTCAGAAAGTGTGTTGCCATACCTGACTTGGCCGTGCTGATCCTCATGAAGTGAGATGATCATTTTAAGGAACTTGGGGGGACAAACTAAATGTTCCAAAATCTGCCACAGACCTTTTCATTGTGAGCTACTACTTGGACAATAACTAACCCAGCTCCTTGCCTAGCTGTGGGTTCCCATCTCTGTGGCAGGTTAACAAGTAGCCAAAATGGAGTTTTATACTCCTGATGGAAGCAATGAGCTTTAATGTCAGGAATTCCATAGAGGAAAAAACCCTGCAACCAACCATCTGCCATTTAAAGCAAGTACACAGGAGCTGAGGTGTTTAAGTGGCAGGGCCGGCAACTGTTTAACTCTGAAACAGTCCCAGTCTCCAGAGCAGGCACATCCTGATTCTTTCCAGGGCTCATATGTCAAAGTCATTTCAGTCTGAAAATAGCAGGCAGAATATAACCTTTGAAAAGTCAGTATAATGGAGCTCTCCCAAACAGCTGGGCAGGTGCACAAGGCAACCACCTGATTTCACTTTAAAATCAGACCTTCTGCAGAATACACAACATTAAACTAAGCCCAAGGAGGCAGAGGCCCAAATAACTCTGCTATTTCCTCAACTGATATCACTCTTATTTCTACTTTTTAAAGCTTTTCAAGGTATTCCTTTGGTATTCCTCATGGGTGTACTTTGTCCCTCCAAGGTCTTGCATTTTCCTTGATGGCAAAGTATCAGAATTCCTTTGTTTGGAAGAAAATGTTACAAGGGGAGGCTGATACATCTTCCAGTTTGTAAAAGGTGTTTGATATTGAGAAACAGAAATAAACTATTTCCCATTCCTTCCAGGAACACAAAAAAAACAAGCTTAAATTAGAGAGAGGATAATTTAAGGAAAACCTTTACAACTGTAGAGATAATTAAGTAGCAAAATGTACTACCTGGGAGTCAAGGAATCCTCACCACTGAGGATTTCAAGACCAAGTTATATAAAGATCTGCCAGGAAAGGATTAGATTTTACCTCACTCTGTATTGGTAAAGGGAGATTGACCCTTCCAGACCTATTTTCTAGGATGCTGTGCTTATGAAACCTCAGTGCTGTTGTTCATAAAGGAAACCAATATTGTTATCCTCCTCTTCTACAGAATAAAAACTAAAGAAAAAGGCTAAATTTATAATGTCAGAAGTGCCATAGCACAACTAATCCCAGGCCACTTCACTGATCCACTCAGGCTTCCTCTAAACCTTGCAGCAGGAGCTGCCAGGACTGTTGTTTTTCAGGTAACAAAACCAGACACCCTTTTGCTCCAGCTCACAGACCAGATAAGTAATGTTCTTTAATCTTGGACAATTAGACAACAATCAAAACCACTGATGACTTTTCCTGTGGGATACCTTGGCAATTCTGTTGTAGTTAGAGGACACTCTGGAGCATTTCCTGAATTCTGAACCTTCTCAGCTTCCATTTTGTTTCCTTTTTCTATGTCAGCTTCATTGTCCCCACAGTTTGACAAAGGGGGACTTTTCTTCTCTGGTTCCAATCTCATTAGTTTCCTGGGAACCACCTTATTTGTCTCTTGTCTCACTTTACAATATTGGGTTTGACTTATACTAGAGGAACCTCTGTCTTCCAGACTTTCTGGATCCAGTTTTTCAGTTGGAGTAGATGTTTTACAAAGAAGCTCTGAGGTCTCCTTACGGGCTGCTCGGAGTTGTTGCAGTAACAGGCTTTTCCCTGAGCAATTCCTCCTATAAAAGGAAATAAAAACCTAATTTAATGCAAGACAAAGCATTATATGAATAAATTCAATCTCTGAGGAACTTCTCAAATGAGTAACAGCTACAAAACAAGGGCTGGGCATCTACAGGAATGATAACTGTTGGTAATAGCAGCAACAGCACTCAGGTGACACAAAACACCACAGAGACAGAACACAGAATTTATCTTAATGGCAATTTATTTACCTCTTCTGCATTTCAGGCACAACACACACCTACTAAAAGAGCCCTCAACAAATGTATCGTTGGCATGGAAATCAGAGCCTACAGATTTTTGTCCATTTTTGGGATTCAAATACCTACAGAAGAAAAGTTTCTGAGTGTTTGGCTTAACCAATGTCTCCTCTAAGTTAACGAGACTGCTAAACTGTCAGCAATTACATTATTGTGATATATTCTGTTGTGGAAAGTCTGGTCATGACATAGTGGACAGATATGGTGATTTTGCAGTTCTGTTCCCAAGTCACCTGCTAGAATCAATTTGTATCTCATCTGGTGATTATGAGCAAATAAAACACCTTATTTTAGTTGTACCTGAAGAGTACACAGCCTGAGCAGCCATTGGTTTGGGTTGGACAGTAATGCTGTAGGTTGGTGGTGTGTATGAGCACTCAGCATCCTAGGTATATTGTACTACAGAATATATAGGATATGTTTAATAATTCCATCCAGAGAAGAGTGAAAATGGCATTGACCCCTTGTGAATGAAATCAGAATCTTGCCCTGCTGAGACCAAGAGGATTTCTTTATTTACAAACAGATCTGAGCAATATTTGCCAGGCATTTCAGTTGGGTACGTTCTTAAGCAACACTAAAGCAAATCAAAATCCAACCAACCGAGCTCTGCTCTCCATCACTCGATTTACACTGATGCAACTGTTGAATCTGAGTCAGTGCCAGGGAGAGTTCCCCAAGCATCACCTCATCCCTGCCTCTGGGATTTTGGATTAGATGTCCTAAATGATACTGTTCAGGCTCTGCTCCTTGTCAAATCATTTCTTCTTTCAGCCCATTAGAAAAAAAGTATAATTGGCTGGCACAACAATACATGTGTCCTGCTGGTCCTCTGCACTGCTGTGAAGTGAACTTACACACAGCAGACTTTGAAATGAATCCACAGCATAAATGCAGGAGGATCCTTAAGGTTTGACATCTCTGCTTCACATTAAACAAATGTCTCATAACTTATGGGTATGAATCAAGCCCTGAGTTTAGTAACAGGAAAAGGCTGACATCTGTGCCTATTGAGGAATTTACAGTTTAGGATTCCATCTATCACACTCTTTCCCCTTCCCCCTCCAATTAAGGAGAACTGGGAGCATCCCTGCCCACACAGTGTATTCAACATCCTCTTTTAACTTCTATCTATTCTAGCCTGGTTTATTTTTTCTAAAAAATAAAGGTTTGTCTGAGTCAACTCCCTACAACATTTTCAAAGACTGACTGTGAGTCATTTAAAGGACAGTTCTTGTGTCACTCAAACAGGTCTGGAGAAAGAGTCCCATTTCCCAGCCACCCAGGGCTACTCCAGCTGAGTTTTGAGTTGTTCCCCTGCAGCTGTACAGGTGCAAGGGCTGCACTGCCTCGAGGATCAACAACTGTTTTCTACCTTTGGTACCTTTACCATGCAACAGAAAAAGTGATCTCCTGGGGCCAGACAAACACTTTCATTACTGGGCTTTTTTGCTGTGAAGACCAGAAATGGAGATATTTCAGTACTCCAGCTTTCACTCAAATCACTGTTAGGGCAATTATTTTAGTTCCAGAAAGAATCAACATCCTATCACTTGACCTGGGGTCATGGTAAAGAATCTTACATTCTGCTTTCTGCTTCATCCTTAATTGTCACAGTCTCTTCTTCTTCTTCTTCGGTGGAGCTGTCACTTGAACTTGTAAAACAAATCAGACCACATGAGTTTACTCTGTTCCAAATGGGTGTTGGCTCTTCGTTAATTATATTGAACATATACATATGAAATATAAATAAAATACAAATTTAGAAAATTAGAAAAAGGGAGAGACTTTCAGAGAAGAACTCCAGGTGTTATGGATAGTTCTTCACACTATTACTCTAGCAAAAAAATTAAAATATTCAAGCAACCAGATCAAAATGTGTTACCTGTTTCTTATCTATTAGCTGTTTATTAACTACAAGGTTTCTTTTGATGACAGTGTGGAAGAAAAGACCAGTTTTAAAGTTACATTTCACAACCATGCAATGCAGAGAGGAGGTTTCAGTTTCCCACTTTTTGTTACTTATTTCTCACTACCAATAAAGTGGTATAAATCCAGGCTTTACCTTTGTTCTTCTTCAGGGAGTGTCACTGAGTTCTGTGGTTCATCATCTCTTAAGTCCAAGTACACAGTTGCAGGCTCTGGCAGGCTCTGTAATCTTATGTTCTTTCTCAGAGAACTTAGTGAGGATGATGGCAAGGCAACATCCCTGCATACAGAAAACACCATTTCAGCATGTCCTCTGCCTTATCCAGACAAGAAGTCCTGCAGAGTGTGGATTAGGATCAAAACTGGGTTGAGAAAAGAGCTTTGTGCTTGGCTACCATACAGATTCCAACTATACTTCTGTCTACTATCAACCACCTTTCAAAGCTTAATTCAAAGATTCAGCTTCCCCCAGGCATACAGATCACAGGCAGGATGATGAGGGATATTTAGTTCTCAAAATCTGGCAACATCAAATAGTTCTGTAGAACAAAGGCAGGCAGTTATGGTACCAATTAGCTGTGTCAATGTGAAAGAAAAGGTCTCCCTTTTCCTCTCTGCCACTTTTGGCAGTTCTGTTTCATCCTTCAGAGCACACAAAGTGCAAATCACCTTCATGGCTCTCTCTGCTCTGGCAATGAGGATACTTCCCACCTTCCACTCCACAGGCTTTTTCACTATTGTTTCCCCTGTGCCTACACCACTGATGTTGTTTGCTCTGAACAGCCTGAAAATCCACTTCTTTCACACAGAACCCTCCATGATGCCCTGACATCTCCGCTGATACCCACAAAAAACCATCCTGTATATTTTACCTAAATTGTAGTACCAATAAAAAGAAATTGGTAGCTTGGATGACAAAATAATGTGGAGGATGATAATTAGCTCAGCCTCGTTTTCCTGCCTTTCTCGTTTGTCTCAAGTAAGGCCTAGACAAAGGTGGTGCTTGATGGGTAATGCTCAGGTGTTTATCATCAAATGTATAGGAATGACTGAGTCTTAATTTTTCCCATTAACATCCCTGTAGCATATTGCAACTATGGAATCAGCTTTCTGCAGTGGCCACAGGGAACAGCACCTCCAGAAGACAGGGAGTTCCCAGTATCCCTACGGGCAGCCAGGATTACCTGGGCTATGTGACAGAAAAGGACCTACTTATTGTCCTGCTCTTCTTGAAAGGAGTAGGCCTTGGCTGGCAGCCACCTGCAGAGAGGAGACACTGTCCTGGACTGCCTGGCACACAGCTCTTCCAGCTCTTTCAGGAGCTCACAGTTCCTCCTGAAGGTCTCTACGGAAGAGCAACAAAAGGAATCACCAGTTGGGGTCTCCTGCCACGGGATCATCCAAAACACCCGCTCCTCATTTCCACATTGTCCCTTTTCCTACAGCCTGTCAGAAGGGGAAGGATAAAGATATTATTGGCATCTGGCTCTGACTCCCTTCAAACCTTCATCCAGCTTGTCTGATCCACTCTTAGGCCATGGCAGGCCACGAAGCACTGGCTTCAGACTAAGAAGACCAGATGAAATCTTGAGGGAAGCTAATTAAACATGTTTTAGAGGGATTAAAAACCCCCACTATGATTTCAACATTCAAAATCATGCTGCAGGGAATGACTTAAACACAGGAACTTGAGTTTTATTTATTTTTATACACTTTCAGCAAAGTTGGTATTAATTTAGTAATATTACCACAATCTGCTGAGAAGAAAGCAACTTCTGCATGAGTGTTATCTCTCTGCTGCTCCAGCTCCTCAAGATTCTTATCTAGATCCCATTTCTCAATATTCTGAAAGAAGACAATAGAAATGTGATGGAAACTTCACTCCCAAAAGACCATCCCTAACTTCACTGCCAGCTTGCTTTCAGCAGCTCCACAAGGAACTGCTGGAAGGAAAGGAAGGATTTATTATATCCCTTTGGACAGTGCATCTCTCCAGCTGCTTCATCTACTTCTGCTGAGGTTTTTTCACTGACAAGCATGAACCCTTTTGAAATAGGCTACAAAAAATCCCTGGAGACAGTGAAAGAGATTAAAAAATGGCCTGGTCCAAGACCAAGCACATGTACCCTGAATAACACTGAGAACTTCTCACTGCCACTTATAAGAGAAGGAATTCTGGCTTTTCCATTCTTTGAGATGAGGCTCTGAGCCTTTTCCTCCCTCTCCAACTTCTGACCAGGGTAAATTCCCATTCCCCTAGGTACAGTCAGCAATCTTGGCTACAGATACAATCTCCCAGCTGCTTATTCCACAGTGAATATGGGATCATCCATTTCATTGCTAGGAATCCCACACACCTGGCTGAGGGCACACTCACACTGCTAACTCTGGTATGAGAACCAGGCTGCCATGACAAATCCACATGCATTTAAAACACTGACTGCTTCCCCTCTGAACATCAGTTGAAATGTGAAGTTTAATCAAAAATACTCACATCCATCTGAAATATCATCACCAGAACTTAGAAGTACTCATGAGTTTTACTAAAAGGAAGGGGGCTGTCAATCGTGACAACAATGTCACAACTACAGCAAACATGCATTTCTCATAACCACTCCCAGGTTTTAGAAAGCAGAAGCAGATTCCAAACCCAGCAGCTTCACCTTGTAAAACCTCTGTCATCTGCCCCTCTTGTTTCAGAGAAGATTCTCTGTCCTTCCTGAGCAATAAATCTTCACACATACCTGAACCCTGACTAGCTCTATTCTAACACCACACACTGCAGCTGATGAGAGTAACAAGCTGAAGTCTCTCACCAACACAAAGCTAATACTGGTTCAACAATGCCATTATTTATTGGTCTGGAACAGCAAGAAAGGACTGACAACTGAGAACTACATCACAGGTTCTGTTTTATCAAAAAGCCCGAAGAGAAAGACAATACATACATTTATTTTATTATGATGCAGTTAGAACTAAGCTTCTCTTTCACTAATAGTGCTGAAGAACAAACCATTATAATAACAAAGATCAAAATATCATCTAACCTGCTTTATTAAAGCTTTAGACTCTTAAGTCTTACCAGGAACAGCACTGTTGGAAGGTACTGGACAGGGTCCAGAAGAAAAGAATTTAAGATTTGCACAATTCCATTTCTAACATAGAAAGGAATTTAAGGAAAAAATCAAATGAACTGATATGAATCAAGAAGCAACTGTATATGAGTTTTAACAACTTGACATAAATTAAATACCTTGCTGAGCTGGCAAGTAACAACCACCTTCCAAATCAAAGTGAGAACACACTGAACCTGGTCTCAGTACCCAACCAAAACCATCAGCTAATTGAAGTCACTGATATCAAACAGGTTCTGAAAGGCAAATGATGCCTCCTGAATTAATATAGCAACTGATTTACATGAGGTGAAATGGGAATTAAACCCAGAACCACCTGAAAAAGATCCCCTCCAATGAGGCAACACAATTTAACACACACGCAAGCAGCTGCATTCTTTGCCTGTACTGGAACAGCTCTAACATTAAAAAGTATATTTTGTGAATGTAGATGAAAGGAAATATCTGTACTCTGACCTATGGAAGGCTTTGAACAGAAATATCAGGTCATGCTCTGTGCTGATTAAGTCCTAATGAACTCAAAAATCAATAAAGGAAGACCTATAACTATAGTACTGAAGAGAACCATCTCTCCACGCTGGGCCACATCTCAGCTAACACATAAGCTGGTCATCCCACAGAACTAAGGACCTGCCTTAGGCAGAAGAGATTTAGGATTTCAGGAACAATCCTAACCACCTTCTCTTCTCACCTCCAGCACTACAGGAAAGACCAGACACTGGAAGGCCAGAAAGGTCCCTGTTTTAGTGCCAAGTCTGCCTGGAACCAGAAGAGTCTCCTGCGCTTCCAGAGACAGAGGCTGTGGTTGGCTCTCCTGAGGTCCCAGGAGCCACACTGCTGATCCATTGGTTTTGCCACCAAGATGGACTTGCAATGACAGCTCTGAGACAGCTTTTGGTAGCTTACAGAACACATACCCTCTGTATGTGCAGAAGTTGGCACTTCATTTCCTCGCTTTAGTGGGACTCTGCAAGCAATGCACTGTGCCCCCACCCCTCAAAGTTTGTTCTTGGGGCCACTCACCTGCAGTGACAAATGGGTCACTTCTCCAAGATGCTCATCTGAGGAGGTCTCTCCCTTTGCAATTCTTTCTAGACTGTTGTTGATGCCACAGGAGGGAGGTTTGACATCCTGCTCTGGGTGGGCTGGAGATGGCTCCAGAATGGTTTTGGAGAGTATCTTTGTCTCTATCAACTTTTTTCTCTCTTTTTTACTGTACAGCCCTTCCACAGACAATGCTGTATTAAGCCAAGAGCTCCCTGTTTCCCTGGCCTGTCTCCTGCCCAGTTCTTTCTCTTCAAGGTGATCTGTGGAATCTGCAAGAGACTCTTCAAGAACAGCTCCCTTTTGGTTTGGTATTTCTTCAGTCTGGCTGGCAAGATTGCAAGTCTCATCTTTAATCATTTGTACATCTTCTTTTGCAATGATTTGGGTACCATCTGTTTCTTCCTGAAAGCCAAAACTTTCCAGGTCTCCGTTCCAGATTTCCCATGGTTGTCTTTCTGTTTCCTGGATTTGCTACAGGTAGAAAAAGCACACATGTGCAGAAAATGATATCTCCCTGAGCTTTAGAAGCAGATAATAAACCAAAACAAAGTGACTGGAAGACAACAGGTCCAACTTAGACACCATATGGAAACAACCCACACCACATCCATCATGGAAAACAGTAAGACTGTTTACTTTCCAGAAACTTTAATTTCAGGAAGTGCTAAACATCCTTGAAATTTCTTTTCCTTACACGTGCTCATTGTAGGACACCTCTCACACCAAGATAAACAATGGGGAGTTAGTCTTCCCATGATGGAACGGTAGGGTCAGCTGGCTCCTCTTCCAGCTTCTCATGATGGCTAATCTTCCAGGGAGATGGGATGCCCCATCCCTGGAAGTGTCCAAGGCCAGGTTGGATGGGGCTTGGAGCAACCTGGGCTAGTGGAAGGTGTTCCTGCCCATGGCAGGGGGGGTTGGAACAAGATGAGCTTTAAGGTCCTTCCCAACCCAAACCATTCTGGGATTCTATGAACTCATCACTACAGGAGCAAAGTAATAATTTTCTCCCAGAAAAGCTGTTCAAGGAGTAAACTTCATACTTGTCCCCCTTTCTGCACTGTCCTAAATAATTCTTCATTTTCTAGACACATAAAATGGTAGCTGAAACAATTTAAAACCCTGAAAAATTCAGGCATCAATCCACAGGGTTAATGTGCACCGCTAGTGCACAGGAAAAACAAACAGTAAAAGGACAATAAAAACTGCCAGGAGACAGGACAAAAAAGTTCTAAAATCTCAAGAACAGAGAAAACTTTAAAGAGTAACTGTATAAAGAGAGAGAAAGATCTAGTTTCTAGTGGGAGAAAGTACTGGGGGCTAAGCTTTTCCGTCACATAGTTCAGTCAAATAGGTCCAACACCAGCAGATGCCCACACTGGAGACAGCCAGAAGAGAGGGGTGACAGCAGTACAGCCCCCACACAACAGTCACAACCTGCACGTTGGAGTCTTCCAGGGAAAACATCATCAGTTCTTCTGAAAGGTCAGGAATTAAGTTCGGCAGCTCCCGCTGGAAGATGAAAAGTTCCTCACCACTCTCACAATCAGACTGAAAACAAGAACAAAAAAAGAGAAATTAAACAGGTGACTGTAATATTTGCCTGAATATCTGGTTTGCAGTGACAGCTCCCATGTTGTCACCCCTCGAAGTGCAGAGCCAAGAAGTTTCTTTGCAGGCACAACAGACAGTCCAGTAGCCCAACAGTCACCAACCCAGGCTGTCTCACAGCCACCCAGTGTTGGAGCAAGCTACAATTGTAAAAACCATGTAAAACACTGAATTTCCATGGAGGTTGGTGACAAACATCCCTCTGAGCAGAGCAATGAAAAGGGTGGGAAGTTCTCTAACTCCTGAGAGATTCTGTGCCTACCTCACTCACCATCAGTGGCAAGAGCAGAGCTGCTCACTATTGACAAGGGCCTGGAGTGACAGAACAAGGGGGAATGGCTTCCCATGGCCACAAGCAAGGGCTGGATGGGATATTGGGAAGAAATTCTTCCCTGTGAGGGTGGTGAGGCCCTGGCACAGGTTGCCCAGAGAAGCTGTGGCTGCCCCATCCCTGGAAGTGTCCAAGGCCAGGTTGGACGGGGCTTGGAGCAACCTAGTGGAAGGTTTCCAACCCCCATGGCAGGGGTTTGGAAAGAGATGAGCTTTAAGAGCCCTCCAACCCAAATCATTCTGGGATTCTGTGATTCTAAGGGAAGGGGAGCTCATGACTGGAAAGGCAAGGCCCCACCAGGTCAAGCCCAGTTTCACAGCACCCAAGAGGAACAAGCAGGACAGACCAGGGGTAGCAACAAGGCTGAGCAAAAAAAATCTACATGATAAGGCAATATTGTGGTGATGAGACAGGTCAGAGGTAAAGCCTGAAAGTTAATTCACAGATGAAAGTCCAGCTCAACCAGAAACCAGCCCTTCTCCAACACAGCTCAGAGAGAGAATGAAGGCCCCGAGCAGAGCTGCTGGACATGTGAGTGAGAGCCCCAGCTGAGGATGGGCAGGGCCATGAAGGCTTTTTATTGCAACCAGGACCCTGACATCCACTCTTCAGGATGCAAACAGCATCTGTGGTTGGTAGGTCAGCATTTAAACAGCTTTGAAAATCCCTTTTCTAAACATAAGATGTGTATTGGAGATGAATACTTATGCATGGACACCAAGGGGAGATTAAGGACCTCCTCAGTAGTCAGGACACAGCTTTCCTGCTTGTCCCTTTTGTTTTGCAAGTGTGCATTTTTGGGAATTCACTGCAGAGCATTCTTTCTGGTATCATTAACTTTCCTTAACATGAAGAAAACTCCAACAGAACACCTTTCCTCTTAATAAATTGCCTATCAGGGTAATGAAGGTACTTCAGGGCATAAAACACATTTGTCAGTGCCATTTTCAGAGGCAGGAGCAGAGCACATTCAGGTCACAGATCTCAGATGCATAAATGGATCTTCAGGCACGTGGGAATCGCTCAGACAAAGGTGCAACACTGGAATTGCAGGTTCAGCAGCACAGGGATTATACAACCAGATCTTTTGAATGCAAATGAAGGGCCAAATAGATTGCCTCGGTTCCTTCAGCAGGAATTTTTAAATAGAAACAGAGAAATTGGAGATTGTTCCTAAGTAAAAAGAAAGGTTCAGTGGGGTTTAGAGTGACACAATGGTATTTGGCCCCAAAGTGTGGAGCTTTTCCTCCTTCTTAACCTTATTGTACAATTACACAACAAGAAAGCCTACAAATAATTCCAGTGTTGGGCCTTAATCTAGACTATACAGACACATATTAAAATGCAATGGTTGTTTTAAATAGGTAGAGGGGAACTGAGATACTGTGAGGCAAAATGGTTTGCCCACCACGGTAGTGACAGATCCAGGTGCAGAAATCAAGTCATGGTATCTCTGTCAACACTCTATCCACTAGATCACAGTGCTTCAGATCACTGATAATGATAAGTGATAAATAGCTCTTGGAGGCATTTCCTTCACTGCCCACAAGACTCCCCTTGTACCATTAATGGCCACAATAAGACGGAATAAAATATATCCTTTGTGTGTTCAAAATTATTTTTTCAAGTTTATACATGTTTGAAAATTAACAAAATATTTTTATTTGGACAAAAGGCCACCAATAATAGAGTCTTGAAACACAGCATCCCCTCAGGAAAGTCAGTGCCAGAGCATCTTGAACTAGAGTGGAAGGCACTTTTTTATTTGCACCAGACTGATGCTGCATATGAACAGAAATCTGGAACAGCCAAGAGCAAGCTGACCCAGCCCCAGCAAGTGAAAAACATATCACACTGAAGAATTCTGCACAATATCTCTCAGTCTCATTCTTTGCACGTAAAACTGAAGCACAAAAAGGCAACAGGGCTTGTGGAGAATTACAGGCAGTAAAAAGAAGCAGAATGCAGGATTGAAAGATCTGCCAAATGTTTTTTTTCCAGTGGATCATCAAGTCTTTAGGATTATCACTTTCCTGTGACCCTCATAGATAGAAAATCATACCAACAGGCCTACTGTCTGCAAGTACATTGTTGGAATGAACAGCATAATACTGCCAAGCATAAAACATTATCATTTCACTGTAAATCAGCAGGATCCTGCTTTCATACCAAATTTTTGACTAAACAAACTAAGAAGAAATGTGGGTTCATTCTGTAAGATGCCCACTACTCTCCTTTTCCCTGAAAATACTTCTTGTCTGGAGAATCACAGAATAGTTTGGGTTGGAAGGGACCTTAAAGCTCATCTCCTTCCACCCCCTGCCACGGGCAGGGACACCTTCCACTAGCCCAGGTTGCTCCAAGCCCTGTCCAACCTGGCCTTGGACACTTCCAGGGATGGGGCAGCCACAGCTTCTCTGGGCAACCTGTGCCAGGGCCTCACCACCCTCACAGCCAACAATTCCTTCCCAATATCCCATCTAACCCTGCCCTCTGGCAGTGGGAAGCCATTCCCTCTTGTTCTGTCCCTCCAGGTCCTTCTCCAAAGTCCCTTTCCAGCTGTCTTGGAGCCTCTTTAGGCAGTGGGAGGGGCTCTCAGGTCTCCCTAGAGCCTCTTCTTCTCCAGGCTGAACAATCCCAACTCTCTCAGCCTTTCCTCACAGCAGAGCTGCTCCATCCCTCTGATCATCCTGGTGACCTCCTCTGGACTCTCTCCCACAGGTCCATGTCCTTCCACTGCTGGGAACCCTGGGGCTGGAGGCAGCACTGCAGGTGGGGTCTCACCTGAGCAGAGGGGCAGGTTCCAAAGACTACAGAGAGAGGAGATGGCAGTGACTCTCTGACAACTGAGTATAATCCAAAAGGCTGTGGATTAATGCACAGTGTTACACAGCCAGGACAGGCAGCCCATTCAGAACACCACCCCAGGCACTCTGAGACACCTGCCTAAGGTCACCTGCTCTTGCCTTTGAGAGACTTTTCTGAGGCAGTGTGAAGAAAGGCAGGTTTCAGTGCTTACTGTGGAGGACTCGGAGTCCAGAGATGGGAGCTGGTCTTTCACTGCAGCGAGTATGGATCCCCACTGGAATGGTCTGTCACTCTGCACGGGAGCTGCAGGAGGCTCAGCTGGATGTTCTGCATCCTCACTCTGCCCTTCCGAGGCCATTGGAACAGCTTCCCTTCAAACAAATGAAAGATGAGCTTAAGGATACCTCACCAAAGAACGAGGGGTAACATCAGCACAAAACAAGAGCACAGCACGTGCAGTAAGGGCAGTGGAATTCTCAGCACTCCCAGGGCATGATACAATCTGCATTTTTGGAACTGTTCCTTCCCGCCTGTGTTCAGAGGTTCACGAGCTTTCTGCCCTGCTTACCACACACACCCCAGAGGCAGCTGAGCCTCTCATTTTGAGAGTACTTTTTGGGGTTCTTAGCCAGACTGCTGTAACTGTGTTCCCTTAAAGCATGTTCCCATGTTCTGCCTGCATGGAGAGGGAAGGAACACAACAAAGACAGGCTGACACCTCTGCTCTCAGCTGGATTTCACTTGTCTTCCCTATTTCCCTACCGTTCCCTTCCTCACTGCTCAAATGACAGATAAAATGATCATAGAGTCACAGAATTCCAGCATGGTTCGGGTTGGAAGGGACCTTAAAGCTCATCTCATTCCACCCCCTGCCATGGGCAGGGATGCCTTCCACCAGAGCAGGCTGCTCCAAGTCTTGTCCAACCTGGCCTTGAACACTGGTTTGTGTTTGCTATTGTTTTCACTGGATTTTTAAACAAAAAATAGTTGAGAGTCAGCATGTTCTTGGATTTTGACCTCTCAAAGTGTTTCTAAAGTGGATTCTTTCCTTGATGTACATGAGGAGTTGAGACAACACAGAAGGGGATGTAGCTGTACTAAGAAATCAGATAATTAATCCTCACTGAAAACCTTTACATTTTATGCTACAATTGCATGGTTTTCTGGGCAATTAAACATGAGAGTAAATGATTTCTTTTGGGGCAAGAAAGGTTCGGAGGTTCCATAGAATCATAGAAGACCCAGAATCAGAAGAAACTCACAGGGATCATCAAAGGTTGTGTGTTGTTGAGGACTGAAATAACTGTTCAAGTGATGTCACTGTTATTTGCGTTGACGTAGGCAATAAAAATCCTCAAAACATGAGGTTAAACTCAGCTTATGCCCGGGGACCTTTATAACTTGCAATTGCCTCTGTAAATACCTTATAGTCCATATCCACACAGTGGTTTTGTTGGGACAACCCCTGAATTTGATTTAAGTAAGGAGGAGAAAACTTCCATGGCTGGAGTACAGTGCTCCGACAGCGAGCAGAGGATGTTAAGGAAAATAGGAGTCCCATGAAGATAAAATAAACTGCCTGGTGCAGTACTCTGTGATTATTTGGGAGGTCAGTATCCCAAAGTTATGGATGTTACGCTGGATCTGACTTATCAGTCAGCTAATGCCTCATCTTCAGTGGGAGCAAGCAGTGTTTAAAACAAAGACTTGTCAGCAATAACCACAACAGGCACTTTCTGGAGAGCTTGGGCATGGAGGTATTAGGTCTTAGGTTGGACTTGATGATCTTCGAGGTCTTTTCCAGCCTTAACGACTCTATGATTCTAATTGAGACATAAGATCCTGAGCCTTTCCGTGTCACTAGAACTGACGTTTGCTGTCACATCCACCTCGACAGCGTCGCTGGGAGGGAGCAGCTGAGAAGACACAGGCAATGGTGGGAGACAGAGCTTGGTTTCAGGGCTGCATTCAGGGGCACGGGGCAGGGGATGAGCCACCGCAGCCCGGCCACAGCCCAGGGACGGGCCCGGGGTGAGGGACCCCAGGGGGACCCCCCTCAGAGCCCCCCCAATGGCGGCCGCGCGGCGCACGCGCACCGTCCCCATGGCAACGCGGCTCCCGCGCCCGCGGCCCCGCTCCCTTCCCCTCACTCACAGCACCCACCGCCCCGCTCAGCCCCGGCCCGGGGCCGGGCCGCGGGCACAGCGAACCGCCAGCAGTCGGGACGAGCGGCACGGCCGAGCGGTAGCGCCCAAGGGACCGCAGGGCAGCGACGACTCCTCGCTACAACCGCCAGTCCCAACCCCCTCGGCCGCCCTTCGCCCCGCCCAGCCCCTCCCATTGGCCCGGCGCCGCGGGGGCTCTTGGGTGTTGTAGTCCGCGGCGCTGGCGGGCGGGCCGCTCCCAGCATGCCTTGCGCGAGCGGGGCCAGTTCCGGCGGGGCGCTCACCGGGGCAGGTGAGGGGGCGGAGGGGCCGGGCTGGTGCTGAGGGGGGGAAACCCCTCGGGGTTGTCTCTGGGCGCTCTCCGGTCTCGCTGGGCCTCAGCGGTTCCGACCCGCTCGCTGAGCCGGGCGCGCGGGGTTGAGACCGCGTTCCCAGCAGGGCCTCGGGGGAGGTGCGCGATTAACGGGCCTGGGAACCGTTTGCCGGGAGATGTTCGGTAACGGCCGTGGGGCGGCCGGTTTGACAGCTGCAGCCGCGCCGGGGCCCCCGCAGGGGCGTCGTTGAGCGAGCCCGGCACTGCCCGGCGGTGCCGAGCCCTGGCGGTGCCGTGTCCGGCTGCCTTGGGCGCAGCCCCTGCCATGGGATGTGTGCTCCCTCACGCTGCGCCTGAAGTGCTCTTGTGCCTCTTATCTCATTTTTCTAAGATTGCATTGTGTGCTTTAACGTGCCCGAGAATGCCAGGCTCGTGGTAGAATTACTAAGGTTGGAAAAGATCTCTAAGATCATTGAGTCCAAGCTTTAAAAGATGAAGAACTTGGTGTATTTTCAACAGTAGTATTGAACCCAGGTGTGATGCGTCCAGGAACCCTTTCTGTCACACCACTACCGTCTGGAACCTGATGTGGTTCCTGCAGCTGTGATGGGTGTCAGCAGTGCAAAAATGAGATGTTCTGGTTCTTGTTGTTGTGGCTGAGCTGGTAACAACTCTTTGTACCTGTACAGGGAGGTAACAGGACTTCTAACTCCCTCCAATAGGTTGTTGCTGCATTTAGGGGAAATAGAACTAAGGAGCAGAAGTGGAGCATGTTCCTGCTCTCACCTTGAGTCCTGTGAGCAGTTCTGGGTGCCAAGGTTCTAAAGCTACTGAAGAGTGTCCAAAGGAGGGATGTGAGGGTGGTGAAGTGTCTGAGGAGTTGCTCAGGGCACTTGGTGTGTTCAGCTGGAGAAGAGGAGACCTGAGGTCAGACCTCATCAGGGTCTGCAGCTTCTTCACGAGGGGCAGTGGGAGGAGCAGCTCCAATCTCTGCTCCCTGTGACCAGGGACAGGACCCCAGGGAACAGCTGGAGCTGTGTCAGGGCAGGGTCAGGTTGGATTTCAGGAAAAGGTTCTTCCCCCAGAGGGTGGTTGGGCTGACCAGGCTCCCCAGGGCAGTGGCACAGCCCCAAGGCTGCCAGAGCTACAGGAGCATTTGGACAACGCTCTCAGGGACAGGGTGAGATTGTTGGGGTGTCTGTGCACAGCCAGGGGTTGGACTTGATGCTCCTTGTGGGTCCCTTCCAGCTCATGAGATTCCATGATTCTCTGTTATCAGCTTGATGGCTCAGTTGGAAGCTCCAACAACCTCCACACTTGTGCTGTCTTGAGAGTCATGTGTGTTTTGTGACAGAAAGACCCATGTGGGTGTCACTGTGCTGGTGGAAGGACATGTGAGAGAAAGAATTGAGCAGAGCCAGTGCAGCTGAACTGGTGAGGGGTGATTGCTGAGCAGAGTTGGATTTGTTCTGTGCTGGGGAGTGGTTGCCTCAGTTGCTTCTCAAATCACCTCTCATTTATTTTTGTGTGGCTCTTCCATCTACTGTCTCATGTTCCTTAGGCTTATCCTCCAAAAAGGTGCATTAAGTACTAAGTTTTTATTGTTTAGGGTTTTTTTCTGCCTTCTGTTTTGCTCAAACAGCAATCTCCAAATCTAGGGCAGTGTGGGGTTTGCTGCCTGCTCTGAGCCTCAGCTCTGTAGGGTTCTGATCCTGATAAATAGCTGGGTGTTGATGGAGTAAATTTAATTAACAGCAACCTCACAGGTGTCATGGCTTACTTCAACTGGTGAATAAGTTCAAGGCTGCTGCTCTTCCCTTCCCCATCTCAATGGGATGGGGAGAAGAATCAGAAAAGAAAGCAAAAAACCTGATGGCTTGAGATAAGAACAATTTAATAATTGAAGCATAGCAAAATGTAATGATAACAGTAATTATAATGAAAAAAAAATAAAATCCAACAGAAACAAGCGATGCACAACAGAGTTGCTTACCACCTGATGGCTGATGCCCATCCCATATCCAAGCAATATGGGCCCCTCCCAGCCAACCTCCCCAGTTCATATATTGGGAATGATGTCCTGTGGTATGGAATATCCCTCAGGCCAGTTCAGGTCAGCTCTCCTGGCCGTGCTCCCACCTGGCTTCTCTGGAACCTCGCTGGCAGAGCATGGGAAACTGGAAAGGCCTTGATTTAGGGTAAGCACTGCTCAGCAACAACGAAAACATCAGTGTGTTACCAGCATTATTCTCATCCTGCATCTGAAACACAGCCCTGCATCAGCTGCTGGGAAGAAAATGAACTGTGTTCCAGCTGAAACAAGGATAACAGGGTTGAGGAAGGTCTCTAACAAATGTTGCCTTGGTTATTCTGCCCCAAAGCAAAAGAACAGCCTGTAAATGTTCAGGAGGTCTTTGTCAAGCTTATTCTTAGTAACTGAATCTCCCTCAGTACTCTTGGGTGTACTTTTACAAGGATTTTTGTGGGTTTTAACTGAAGTCTTCATTGCTATGACTTGAGTCTTTCTGTGGCTGCCCCATCCCTGGAAGTGTCCAAGGCCAGGTTGGACAGGGCTTGGAGCAACCTGGGCTGGTGGAAGGTGTCCCTGCCCATGGCAGGGGGTGGAAGGAGATGGGCTTTAATGTCCTTTCCAGCTCAAACCATTTGATGATTCCATGATATTCACCCTGGCCACAAATAATGAATTATTGCTGTTGTCCTCTCTGCAGCAGCCAGTTGTGTATTTGAGGCTGGTGTCACATGTCCCCTCCAGGCATCTCCTTTTCAGACCAGACCACCCTGATTTCATTTCACCCACGTCTTTTCATTTCAGCCCTGAGGGCTCTGATCACTTTTGTTGTTCTGTAGGTTGTGCTCCACTGTCCTCAGGTGCTTACAGAGCTGACATCATGCTCCAGTTCAGTCTGAGGTGAAATCTGAGAGTTTAAAAACAACAAAAAAGCAGAGATGGAGGCAGGGCACAGTGCAGGTGGTAGGAGTGAGGCTGAGTGCCTTGAATGTTCTGAAGTCCAGCATAACCTGTCTGTCCTGTCAGTATTGCCCTGTTGACTGTGATCACCTCACCAAGGCTGTGTTGGTCACTTGTTACCTGGGTGGGGCTGATTCTGACAAACACCAAACACCTCTGTGGTTTATAATTAATGTATCCAATTAATAAGGAGGGCTGCAGAGACAATGAGCTTCACTTGCATCTGAATATGCTTCTGCAAACCTCCCTGGATTTCACCTCCTTTCACATGCCTTTTTGCCTTCCAGGAGCAGCTTTAATCTGTTGTAGTAAGAAACATTTCTATTTTCCTCCTTATGAGCCACTTAAATCCACTTCTATCTCTTTGTATTTTGATTTTGAGGTGTTCAGGCCTTTCATTTGTGCTCTGCCCTGCATATTCTTGCCTGAGAGCTCTGGGTTGCCCAGTGTAATACAAACTGCTGCTATTAAGTAAAATAAGTGCTTTTGCACATATCTTAAGGAAGGAAATGTTTATCACCAGCTTATTAAGTAGAATAGATGGTGCTTTTGTAGTCTTAACAAGCTGAAGGAGGGGAAGAAAAGGAAGGTGTGAGAGAAAAGATCCAGGTGGGGAGTGAAGAGGTAGGAATTAAAGGTGGTTTCTTATGTTTCTTGGTGTTTCCAAGACAAAGATTCACAGTTGATCAGAAAATATAAGTATGGTTTTGAAATGTTACAGCTGAGGGAATCTAAAGAGCAACTGCTCCTGAAAAGCCTGTTTCTGCTCTCTTTTATTCCTCCCCAGTGCCAGATTTGGCATTTGCCCGACCCCAGAGTGAATCAATCTGAGGAATTAAATTGTCAAGAAATTATCAGGAAGAAGAGAGACCTCTTTATGTTGGCTTAGCTGCCCAGCAGAATATGTGGTGGGACCAAGCAAAGCCCAGAAATGCTGCATGGTGGGCAGTGACACTACAGGGAGGGGAAAGCACTTCCATGGGATTGACTGGAACAAGCTACCCAGGGAGGTTGTGGAATCTCCTTCCCTGCAGATATTCAAAACCCCCCTGGACACGGCCCTGAGTAATGTGCTCAGGGGGACCCTGCTTGAGCAGGGAGGTTGGGTGAGATGATTTCCAACCTGAACCATTCCAGGATTCTGTGCCTGGAGCTGCAGCTGAAGCCCTCAGCTGATGGATGCAGCTGTGTTGAACAGCTCTTTATGAAGTGCCAAACAAGAGCACTCCTGTGAGTGGTTATAGTGGTTATAGTGATTAATCTGTGATTGCTCCCTAAGGCTGGGAATAAACCTTGCAGGTAGTGCTGGAACTGGAGGAACTGTGCAATTAGGTTATGTCTGCAGAATGGTGGGCATGCTCCCATAATGAATGGGCAGGTGCTGCTGCTCCAAGTGTTTCAGCAATTTCCAGGATTCACAGAGACAGGGCTGGGCTGCATCTGAAGAACTGAAGCAATAAATGGTAGAAACATTCTCCTTACAACCTGATGACAGTGAAGTGTGAACCCTGTTCAGGTGACATGAACCACTTTTGGGAGCAGTGGGCAGTCGTCATTATTAGTGACTGTGTCTTAATTTAAGCAGGGCCATCCTGTAACATAAGACAGTTGGAAAAAACCCAGGAATGTCTGACACATGCATTCTTAATTCTCTCTTTGCATTATAAAACATGCAGAGCAAGAGTTACATCCTTTTGTATAACACTAAGCATCTTAAATAGGTGTTTAGTCTTCTCTTGATGAGGGTATCCAAAGCTGCCTTAGGCATGTTCAGATTAGAAGGGAAGGAAATAAAGCCAGTGCTTCTGAAATCTTAATATAGGATTTGAAAGATGTGGAGTTTAGCATTATTGCCTTTTATTTTTCCAGTGTATTCGAATCCCAGAGTCCCCTGCAGCAAGAGAGAACTTTCAGCAAAATCCCAGCAGCTGTTCTTGCCTCGGGCTGAGGAGTGGATCAGAGTAGAGGTAGGAATTTGAAACGCCCCAGCTCTGAGCTGACCTCACCTTCCAAGCCTGTGGCACCTTGGAGCTGTATCTCCAGTGGGTGATGCCTTGGTCTGTGGAAAATGGGGGTCAGGAGCTAAACGTTGTGCTTTGCTTTGGTTCCCGAGGGCGGGATGTCGGAGCTGAGTGACGAAGCCAGCGAGTCGGAGCTGCTGAGCCGCAGCCTGTCCATGTGGCACGGGGTCGGGATGATCTGTCGGGAAGAGCTGGATGTCCCTCTGGACTTGCACACAGCCTCCTCTGTTGGGCAGTATGAAGTGGTGCAGGAGTGTATTCAGCGGTGAGAGGGGCTGGGGTGGGCACAGCCCTGGGGTTACCTCTGCCAGGTGTTGTTCTCCCTGGCTGCCGCACCAGTCAGTGCAGCAGGGACACATCCCTGGAACTCCCAAAGGGTTCTGGGACACCAAGATTCAGGGGCAAGTCTGCTGATAAAAATGACTTCCTTAGTGATTTAGCAGAAGGTGTCCCTGCCCATGGCAGGGGGGTGGAACAATATGGTCTCTAAGGTCTCTTCCAACCCAAACCGCTCCATGAATCTGTGGTTTGGTGGAAGTTGTACTAGAGCTGGAAGGAATTCCATGCAGGCTTCAGTTCTCAAATTTTTTTCAGTGCAATGATGGTAGCAAGAGGAGCTGATTTCTTTCCTCTGTTATTTAGTGAAGACCTGGATTTAAACCAGAGGAACCGTGGGGGCTGGACTCCACTGATGTATGCCTCCTACATTGGCCATGACAACATCGTGCACCTGCTGCTGGAAGCAGGAGTGAACGTGAACATCCCAACCCCGGAGGGCCAGACCCCGCTCATGCTGGCCTCCAGTTGTGGGAACGAGAGTGTTGCTTACTTCCTTCTCCAGGTGTGTATCCCATGATAAATAGGTAAAGCCACAGCACGTGGTTTAAATGCTCAGGGTAGGGTTGTCCACGAGCTGCAATGTTGTGTTGTGTTGTGAGTTCAGCTTTGTGCAGGGATTTAAACTCTTGGTATCCCAGCACAGAGGGGTAGTAAAAGCCCGAGCAGAGGGGGTGCAGTAAAGGACATTGTCTCTTCTCTTGAAGCAAGGTGCAGAGCTGGAGATGAAGGACATTCATGGCTGGACTGCCTTGTTCCACTGCACCAGTGCTGGGCACCAGCAGATGGTCAAGTTCTTACTGGAGAATGGGGCAAACGCCAACTGCAAGTAAGGAGGAGTCTGTCATTTTATTGTCATTTCTCATTCAGATAGGAAGGCAACAGTTGGCACATAAACATACTCCAACTCAGACCTGCTTTTGTCTTCCCCTGTACCTTAGGACGTGTGGCACAGCTGATACAAGGACAAACTGTACACTGAATGGCAATCTGCCCATGTTGCCCTGTTTATTTATTACTAAGATCAAGAGAAATTATATTTACTGCTTGTTTAATTATGAGCTGAACTCTGAAAGCAAAAGGTGCAATGCCTTCTGAACACAAGTGCACTTTGCAAGTCTTCCTCTTGAATTCTCTATATACTCAGAGTGCAGTTTGATTTTTGAAGTGTGCAGTGCATTCCTGTGCCTTGGGAACTGCTGTACGTTTATGCACGTGGAATTGCTTGAGGTCAACGAGACGTTCTTGCTTTATTAGCTCCTGCAAAACTGATTTTGCCTCTAGAAAGCAGATCTGCAGCTGGAAGAGTCACCTGTTGCTGTACAGCCAGTCAAGTAACACTGAATCTCCACGGGGAGTTTTTCTGGGATAGACCAGAGTGCAGTAGAACAGCCAGTATGTGACAGTTTATGATCAGCAAAGGTTGAGGGATGGAGATGTTCTGTTAGGGTATGGCAATAACTGCCCACAGTCCAGCTGTGATTATCCCAGTCCATGTGTTTGTTCTCTCTCTAGGGAGCCAGTGTATGGATATACACCTCTGATGGAAGCAGCTGCTTCTGGCCATGAGATAATTGTTCAGTACCTTCTCAATCATGTAAGTGTTGTGACAGTTCTCTGTAAAGTTGAAAGTCTCTGCCTCCAGCCCTCAGAGGAAGAACCACAAGTTTGACACCAGCCATTTTTGCAGTGTTATGTTTGATCCTCGATGACAGTCAGAAGCCTCAGACTTCCAGGATTGCTTTCAAAGCATCTGTTTTCTGCAGACTAGTACTGTGATTTTACACTGACCTTGCAAGAACAGGAGTGAGACCTGATTGTAGATTTAATTGAATAATGACTGAATTAGGAAACAACTAAAGCTGTAGTTTTTCTACTGTGTTTAAAGGCTTGCATGCTCAGGCTACTGGGCATCTTCTGCCTCCAAAGCTTTATTAGCATGCATGCCTCTTAAACAGTTTGGTTTTAACATCCCATTTAAGTTGTCCAGCTTCCCACCAGAAGGAGGCAGCAATACAAAACACTTCTCAGATAAACAAGTTCCCCATGCACACAGTCAATACACCTGGACTATTTGGCATTCAGGGACTGGGGACACTGTGGATAAATAGGAAGGCATCAGTGTATTATTGGAGCTTGAACTGTCTGTCAAAGGTGAGCCTGTATTTCTGATGGAGGAACCAAGACAGTCCTTGGGGTTTTTTTTATATAGTGCCTTCTGCTATGTGCATTTAAACAGGTATTTTTTTTCTGCAGGGAGTGAAGGCAGATGTCAGAGATAACACTGGAGCCACAGCACGGACACTGGCCATGAAGTATGGACATCCAAAGATTGTGGGACTGATAGATTTGCATGCAGCCCCAGTGCCCAAGGTCTTCTGCAGGGGCCCAGGTAACAGATGTTTTACCTTGTTCATTTTAAGATGGAACCTGAAGTGAGGTGTTCAATGTTTTGAAAGCATATTACTGTGTGTATGGGGTAGTGCTAGTTGGTCTATCCTGGAAATTCCAGCATTTCTGAGGATGGAAGAGTCATGAATCCAACAATTTTTGTCTGCTATCCCTTTTCTGACCTAGTTGAGTTGTTTCACCCTCCCTCTTTAGCATTTTCCTCTTTCTTTCAACTGCATTTTCAGGACCAGTAGCAAATTAAGTAGGTAAATTACTTACTGTGCTGCTAACAACATGTGTTTGAACTACAGGAAAATATGAAGAGCTGAGTTCCTCAGATGAATCATGTTCTACTCCCCAGAGACAGAGACCTGCTCGTAGGATGAAGGGTCCCAGCATCCACGACGGGCCCCAGGCTTTGGCAAAGATCACAGCAGTTGGGATCGGGTGCAAGAAGCTGTCTTGCTATGGTGAGAAGAGTTAGGAGCCTGACTGAGAGTCCTCTGAGGTCTTTCTGGGCCAGCAATTCTTTTTCTCTTCGTTTGGAATTCGTGTGTGTTTTGTACAGGACAGAGGCAGTAAACACCATCATACAAGGCTATCCAATCTCTGGTTTAGAAAGAAAACCCCTTGAATTCTTTTGTCAAGGCTGGATATTGATGAGTGGGACACTTCCCTGCTCCTACCTCCATGACTGCTCCCCTCCCAGCTTCCCTTTTTGAGGCAGGCTCAAAAGTTGGAGTCCTTCTCAAGCTGATGACAGAGGAAGTGATCACACAGGCCAGGAAATCACTGATCATGAAAGTGAACTCGCTGCTCCTGGACCTGTCAGTCTTTTGCCTTCCCTGATGCTTGAAATACTGCTAAAAATGAGATTACAAAACCTTTGCAATAGGCCAAGAGACAGACAATACCAGCTCAGGCTTCAACCCCTGGATGCAGTGGTGTAAAGTTTGTATTCCTGTGCCATAGGTATTTGTCAGGTTGATTACCTGGTTGAAATAATGAAGGATATGGACTTCAAAAGGATGTTCAGAGATCAGTTCCTTCTCTCAAAAACAGATATGTATTATCCCACAGGCACTGTCTGTATCAAAATGATACTGTGAGCTTCTTAAATGGCAGTGGGATGCTCCTGGTGTTTTAGCACAGTTGCAAAGGGGTTGGTTTTGCAGGGTGTGCTGGGCTGGGGATGGGACACAGTTGGCACCTTGCTCTCTTGAGCAAATGGTTTTGCCCTTTGATAATTTGGGTGTGAAGAGGAGAGGAGATGCTGAAAGCTGCTATTTAAGATGCATCTCTGTTATGAGGTTGTTTCCTCTGACTTCTTTTCAATGCAACTATGGAAGTACAGCTGCTGTGGGGTGAGGGAGCATCTGCATTTCTCAGGTTTTCTCTGTGCCTTTCAGAATGAAACCTGCCAGTTGAGAAAACAGTCTCTTGTTTTGAAATCCCTGAGTGGTTGTATTTTCTGCTGGAGCCTCCCTGCTAACTTGTATCCTAATCTTAGTGTGTTCTCCCTTCCTCTTGCACACAGAGGAGGTCCCCCCTCAGGGCTATGTCACCTTCAGTGACGATGGCAGCTGTGAAGGAGGTGACATCCGGAACCGGGACGTCACCTCTCCGATCAACGAGCAGGATGTGGAGAGCAGCAGCAGCCGGGGTAGGTCACTGGCTGAGAAAATGGTCCAGCTTGCAGTGCACACCTGGATGGGAGTCCAGCCCTTGGCTTGCATGCTCCTTTCCCACTAAGATGTTGAAATTGGAGTATCTGTCCTGAGGGAAGGCTGAGAAAGCTGGGATGGTTTAGCTACAGAAGACAAAGCTCAGTGTGGGGATCTCATCAATTTGTACAAATAATCTGAAGGAGAGTGTGAAGGAGAGGCTGTGTCCAGTGGTGTCTGTGGTACTAAACAGACTTGGGGAAAGATTAACGTCTGGGATCAGATGTGATATTCTGTCTCAGGGTTGTCTTGTGTGATGAGTGCTGCATGTGAAGCCTTGCTCTGGACTTCTCCTTCCTTTACACCTCCAGGAGGTTCTGCTGGCAACTGTGTAGCAAAAACAGAATGTAAGAAGTTGAAGCTGACCTTAAAACATTTTTTCCCTATTCCTTTACAGAGGATAATGTTTTCTCCAACAACAACTTGGGAACCATCAGGAGCAGCAGCAGCAGCAGCGAATGCCTGACCAGAGCCCTGGGAGTCAGCAGTGAAGGCTCCTTGGAAAGCAATGAGGTAGGGTCTTCAATTATCCTTTCTCTGCCTTCAGCTTGGCCAGTGCTGTCACCCTTACACAGCCTGCTGTGACTCTACTTCCATGGGAGGTGAGGAAAGGTACTGCTACAGGGACAAGAAAACCAAGGAAGGGGAAGAGGTTGGAGGTTATTCCATGGTTTAAACTCACAGCTCACATGGTTCAAGGCAGCTCTGGGGCTGATATACAGAAGTGCCCTTAGGTCTTGAAGGAGTCTGTACTAGTGATCCTGACATCCTTGCAGACTCCTCCTTGGCCTTTACGTTCTGTGGGTGTTTTCTCTCTTTTCCAGGACTCTGACCATGCAAACAGTCCCCCAAGTCGGAAACAAGCCAAGAGCTTTAAGGTCAAGAACCGCTATAGCAACAGTGACAGCCAGTGGAGCCACTGCTCAGGGAGGGCTGGGGGCTCTGCTCAGCACGTGGTCCTTCCTGAGCCCCCTGCCTACACAGGGCCCCAGGTAACTGCACACAGTCAGTCATACAGCCTGTGTCACTGTAACAGGCCTGGGAGGCTTTTCCAACGTTGCCTAAGCTGCTCTCTTGGATAAAAGGGAAGTTGTCACCAAAACACCTTTGATTCCAAACCTCTGCCCAAACTTAAATGCTTGTGAAACAGCAATTTCTTGTACAGATAACTGTTTACTTAGGTGTTGCTTTTGCTTGGAGGGGTTTTCTAGACCTTTCAGGCCTGTGGGTGTGCTATCAAACTTAGCAGTGGTGTGGGCTGGGGTAGGTGTTAGTGTGTCATTTTTCTCTGCACTTGCTAGAAGAGGCCATGGCTGCAGCAGAGAGTCCAGTCCTGCCCTGTTGTGTGAAAGGGCAGGGAGCCAGGGGAAGCTGTGTTTGCTGCTGGAACCCAGGAAGGTGTTACAGCAGCATGAGGAAGCAGATACTTATGATTAAGAGAAATGGTAATACTTTTTGTTTGTGAGGGTATAAATAAGTTTGGTTTGGATGGGCTGCAGGACCTGGCAACGTTCCTTGAGCAGATTGGGTGCCTGAAGTATCTGCAAGTGTTTGAGGAGCAAGACGTTGACCTGCGGATCTTCCTGACCCTCACAGAGAGTGATCTGAAGGAAATAGGCATCACGTGAGTGTCGTGGTGTTCTCATCTTACCCTTACAGACCACGCACAACCTGGTCAGGAAAGTTTAGCTAGTGGGTGCTGCTCTCTTCTGGCTGCCTCTACACAATTTTGATACCCCCTAGTTCTTGGCTGTAGCACACTCGTGCTATTCACAGAACCACAGAATATGCCAAGTTGGAAGGGACCCACAAGCATCATTCAGTCCAACCCTTAGCCCAGCACAGGACCATCCCCAAGAGTCTCACATGTGCCTGAGGGTATCATCCAAACACTTCCTGAACTCAGCCTTGGTGCTGTGACCACTGCCCTGGGGACCCAGTTCCAGTGACCAACCACTGTCTGGGTGAAGAACCTCATTCTAATATCCAGCCTAAACTTCCAGTGACCAACCACCATCTGGGTGAAGAAACCTCATTCTAATATCCAACCTAAACCTCCCCTGACACAACTTCAGGCCATTCCCTCAAGTCCTATCACTGATCCCCACAGAGAAGAGATCAGTGCCCACCCCTCCTCTTCCCCTCATGAGGAAGTTGTGACTGCAGTGAGGTCTCCCCTCAGTCTCCCTTCTGGCCTAGAGACAGATGGTGCAGGGCTTGGCCCCTGAGGGTTTGCACTGTGCCCCCAGGCTGTTTGGACCCAAGAGGAAGATGACCTCTGCCATCGCCCGGTGGCACAGCAGCGCTCGGCCGCCCAGCGATGCCCTGGAACTGGCCTATGCAGATCGACTGGAGGCTGAGATGCAGGAACTGGCCATTCAGCTGCACAAGGTGAGCCTGCTGGGAGCTGATCAGGGCCTCACACGCTGCAAAAAGTGACTGGTGGTGTGGTTTTGTGTTGTGCCTCTTATGTCTTTTCCCTTACCCCAGGCTATAACTCCTAGTGGGCACACTTGGTGTTGAGTTGGTCAGATAACAGTTGGACAGGTACAGCTTATCAGCTCATGGAATATGCTGAGTTGGAAGGGACCCATCAGGATCATTGAGTTCAACTCCTGCTCCTGCCCAGGACACCCCAGCAATCCCACCCTGTCCCTGAGAGCATTGTCCAAATGCTTCTTGAGCTCTGGCAGCCTTGGGGCCATGACCACTGACCTGGGGAGTCTGTTCAGTGCCCAACCAGCCTTGGGGGAAGAATCTTTTTCTAGTATCCAACCGAAACCTCCCCTGACATAACTTCAGGTTATTTCCTCGGTTCCTCCTTATCCTCTGTGCTCCATGCTTGTGAAGCCTTTGTATCTGCTTCCCATCCAACTGAGAACTATAGGAGCCAGGGGCAGGATACGAATCCCTGCTCTTTTCGAGCAATGTCATTTTTATGGTGAAGTTGTGCAGCCATCAATGAACAGACTTGTGTTGGTTTGGGAAAATTCCACTAATGAATATATTTGTAAATGGAGAGGAAGGCAGGATTGTAATTTTGGGGCTGGGCTTGGTGTGGAGAGAACCTGTACTCAATCTACAAACCTTATCCAGCTTCCTTTCCCACTGGAAAGGAACCATCTGGTTGCCTAAGCCATTCAAATGACTTCAGAGCCATGCCAGAGTGGCAGGAATGAGAGTGATGTGCAGTAATCCCAGCCTAATCCCCTGTTCTGCTCTGCTGCAGAGGTGTGAAGAGGTGGAGGTGATGAAGGGCCAGGTGTGCCAGGAGCAGAAGCTGCGTGCAGTGGCTGAGAGCTGCTTGATGGAGCGGGATGAGACCTGGAATGCCATCCAGTGCCAGCTCAGAGAGGCTCAGGCCATGACCAAGGATGCTGGAGTCCTGCTGGATCAGATCAAGTAAGTGATTCCCAGGAAATGGCACTGAGGCTACTGGGAAATGGGGTTTGGGGTCATATTGGCAGTCTTACAGGTGATGTTTAGGGTGAGGCAGGAGAGCTCACCAGGAACAGAACCTGAACCCATTTTGGATCCTGCTGACTCTCCCTAGTGGAAAGCCACAGCTATGGGAGCAGATGTGAAGCCCTAGTCAGATGTACGAGCTGTAAGTGGCCTGACTTTTTGGGAGTGCTGGGTGCTCCTGTTTCAATTAGAAGGAACCAAAAGGCTGAGGGTTTTGTGCTTACCCAGGGCATACCTCGGTGATCAGGTGAATGCAGAAAGGAGTTAACTTCCAAACCCTTTCAGAGGACTCACAGTGTCCTGCCCTGGCTAGTGAAGAACACTTTCCTTGCAAGTCTGACACCCAGCAGAAAATCCTGCCCTGTCCATTCACCCCCACCTCCTGACACACCTTTTTATTGACTTTGTGGTGCTTTTCTCTCAGCCCCAGTTGGACTCCTGTCACAGGCCCTGTTCTGTCCACTGGTAGAACAGGCACATCCTTGGAAGTGGCATTAATCCTGCTGCTTATGAACTCTAGCCCAGCAGGGAGTAGGGTGTGCTCCCTGAGCTGGAGCTGGATCCAGAAGGACAGTAGAGCAATATTCCCAGCTGCAAGAGGCAGAGCTTGGCTTTTTCCCTGACAGAGGAGCTGAGGCTGCCTTGTAGAAGGGCCTTGCCATGCTCTGAGGATACACTGCTTGAATTGATGGGATGGTGATGACAGCCAGAGAACTTTTGTGCCTTTCTGATACCTGTCCGAAGGTCACTTCCTTCGCCCATTAAAAACCTTGGATCAGTCTTGATTCTCACACCAACCAGGCACAGCCCCTGCTCACCCCAGCCCCTCCTTCTCGTCCCCCCTCAGCTCCTCTATGAATGAGGCAGATTGCTGTGGGTGGAGATGGGGCACAGTGATGAGCACCCCAAGCTTTGGCTGGGGCACATCTTCCTCCTCCCAGGAAGGAGCAAGGAGCAGTTTGTAACCCAGGGCCTTAGAGGCTGTCCCTGGGCACCCCAGGCAGGCTGCAGGAGCACACAGAGCTTTGTTGCTAGGGGAGTCCCTGTGCCCTGCTGATGGGCTGTGTGTTGTTTGGCAGGAGCTGTCAGGCAGAGCTGTCCTCCCGGCTCACCCCGGAGCGGGTGGGCAGCGCAGTGCCCGACACCGGAGAGAGTCGGCGGCCCGGGGAGCGCCCAGGTGAGGAACACCCCAAACTGCAGAGATGGCTGCAAGGAGGGGGGAACAGGAGGCCCCAGAGCCAGCCTCGTGCTTGTCTTTCCTTGATGAAAGGATGAAGTCAGAGAGTTGGAAATGGATGAGCAACCAAACCCTTGCACTGAATGTAAAACGTGCTCAGGGGAAGCGTTTAAAGCACTCGGGGTGCTGGGAGCTTAACTGCAGCAGTTTCACAGCAACTTTTGGTTCTCAGCAAGTGGGAAATTTGGGGGTCTGGCAAGTGCTTGTGGATAGAAATGCAGAGGTGTAAGACAGGTGTTCAGTGACACCTGCTTTTTGGGCCTCTGGCTGCACTTGGGTGTGTCACTGCACTGGAGCAGGGGCTGAATCAGAAACTGTGGTTGGTTCCCTATCCCAGTTTGGGGGATTTTCCTGTTCAGCTTGTGGGGCAAACACCTGTACACCTCTGGGTAGACCTGGCCAGCAGCTCCTTATTGCAAGGAGTTAGCAAATCATCCCTGACAGTGTTCAAGGCCAGGTTGGACAGGATTGGAGCATCCTGGTCTAGTGGAAGGTGTCCCTGCTCATGGCAAGGGGGTGGAGTCTTTAAGGTCCTATAAGGGAGATGGTATTTAAGGTCCCTTCCAATCCAAACCAGTCTGTGATTCTGTGATCCTGCTACCCGTGACACACTTCTTTCTGTTCTTTGCTTCCTGTTTTAAAAGTGAGACAGAGATCCCGTTGAATTCTGTCCACTACACTTAATCGCTGAGATTTTTAAATATGACCCAGACAGTATAAAAACATAAATTCCAAAGTGGTAGAATTGTCAGAAAACCACCTCAGTTTGGCACAGGCAGTTCCAGCACTCTTCCCGTGTGACTCAGAATTCCAAACTGGAGCCACTTTGGGTGTGGATGCTTCCCAGCAACACCAGCCCTTTGTCTCTGCTCTGTCACAGAGAGCATGCAGATGGATTAACTGTGTGGCTTCTGTCCTTGCAGTGCTGGAAGGGTGGCCACCTTCCCTGAAGTCCCTGAGCTTGCCTGAGCTGTCAGCTGTGCTGGAGGAATGTGTGGAAGAGATGGGTAAGGAGGGAAGGACTCTGGGCAGGTGAAGGGGCTGTTGTGCCAAGGGAAGGCCTGGCTGGACGGGTTTCTGATGGCTTGGAATGGTAATTGAGAGGGACCCAACAATCCCTCCTCATTCAGGGAAGGCTTCAGGCTCTGAAGTTGGTGCAGGCATTTTCTTGTGCTTCTTCTCACTGCAGATCTGGGGCTCTGCCTCATCCTCTGCTGAGAGGCCCAGGCTGAGAGATGGCTCCTGCATCTCCTGCTCAGTGGTCAGAGCTGCTTGGGAAGTGGTTCCCAAAGCCTGTGTCCTGTTCTCCTGATGACAGGAACTTGTCCCAGCCACAGACAGAGAGACACCCTCTTTTTGGGATGCTGGAAGCTGCAGGGGAGCAGGCAGCAGGAAGACAGCCACAGCAGTGGCTGAGTGCAGCCTGTTTTCCCCTTTTCCCTGCCCTGTTCCTAACACTGATTTTTCCCTTTGGTTTGTCCTCAGGAAAAGCTCTGCAGACTGTGACTCAAAACCTCCAAAGGCTCCAAGCCCCGGGGCAGAGTGAGCCAAGCTGGCTAGAGCCGTAACAAAGCAGGAGGGTGAGTGGGAATTACTGCCATCCATCCACAGGGACAGGCTGTGGCACTGAGGTACATCACCCCTCGCTGCCAGTCCCAACCAGTGCTCACTCACAGCACACACACCAGGGCTGGGCTCCAACTAGTCCTTACGTGCCCTCTGGTTGGTTTTCCCTTTGGAAAACCCTTAGTCCCCTCGTCTCTCTGTCCCACCAAGGGGTGACTCTCCTCTGTTTCCCGGTGGCCGCAGGAACACCGACGTCGGGTGACTGTTCCACCCGGAAGCTGAAGGAGCGCGGGAGCCGTGCCAGCGCCGCGGCTCTGCCGGGCACCACCACAGCCGGGGGGCCTGGCAGGAGGGCTCGGCCACCAGAGAACACACGTGGGAGGACAAGGGGCAGCAGAAGACGACAGCCAGCAGCATTCTGGGCCTGAGTGCTGCCTGGGTTCCCAGGATCCTTGTTCACGCCGGAAGGTTTGGGTTAGGAGGAGAAGCTCTGAGCTCAGAGATTTTACCTGCCTTAAGATTCCTGCAGCCCTTGTTGTTCAGGTCTGTGTGGTGTTAGAAAGTTGGCAGTTATACACAGCAATCAATTAATTATCCTTTTATGCATCCCAACCTCCTCTCCATCTCTGAAACGTGTCCTTGGCTCCTCCTGTGCCACGTGGATTGGCACAGAGGATGTATCTGAGGCCATAAGGAAGACAGGTTGTTGTGGAGGGGTGAAGTTTGTAAAGTTTGGCTCTTTGAGCTGCAGTGAAGCTCTGTTCCTAGTTGGAATGTCTGCTCTACTGCCATCCCAGATCTGGGCTTCAAAACCTCTTCCTTCAGCCAGCCCACCCTGGTTCTCTTCAGATTCTTGCCCTCAGGGGTTGTTTGTGATCACATGTTGTAGTTGGGATGGAATTCCCCAATTTACTGCTCCCCCTGAAACATTCCCAGCCATGCTTATTCCCTCCCCCTGTGGTGGGATGGAGAAGAGAACTGGAGACACAAAGGGTACAGATCGAGAGTTTAGATAAGAACAATTCACTGGGAACAGCAATGAGATAAGAAAACAAATAGTAACAGCAACAATATTAACAACAGAGGGTACAAGAGAGGTGAACAATTGTTACCCCCCTGACTAAAAGGCACCCCTTTCCCCCAGCCCCTCTGTGTGGCAGGAGGTAATACAGAATAACTTCCTGGTCCTGGTCATGCCCCTCCTGGCTACTCTAAAAATTAACCCTGTCCTGGTTATTCCATCCCCAAAAGAGCCTGTTTTTGTGGTGAATGCTTTGTAGCTGCTTTGCAGCAAGAGGCTGTTGGTCTGGTTTGTCCGTGCCAAGATCCCAGCACTGGCAGTGGCTGCAAGGCAGATGTTCCCCTGGAAGTACATGAGAGAGAAGGAAGAGCTCAGGACTGTTGAGCTTCCCATGCCTTTGGCAAGCAGCAGAATGCCAGGGCAGCAGAGCAGGAACTGAGGGATGGCTCTGTCCCCCATGGGAGATGGGCACAAGAAACCACATCCCAGATGGAGCTGTGGTGCAAAGCTTTGGTCCTCATCACTGCCTGCCTTTCATTGGAATAGTTCTGCCAGGGCATTCTTGTGTGGGCATTTTCAAAGAACAGTGCAGGAAGAGGTCCCTCCTCTGGGAGCTGAGAGTGGCCACAGGGGCTCTGGTGACAGGGACTTTGGTGTAAAATGGTTTCCAGCAACTCTGTTCCCATTTATTACCGAGTCTTTTGAGGGGGGGAAAAACAACAATGAAGACCTGAGGTCTGTGAGTGATGGCCTTGATGAGTTGAGAAAAGTGTCTTGGGGAAGAGGATGAAACTTTGTTCCTCTGATTTTTGGGTCTTGGTCCAAAAATAATGCCAAAATACAAAAATCCATTCTGGCTCCATTCTTTGAGCTGGTCACCCCTTCTGATGAGCTGCCTGAGGAGTCCCCTTGGGCAGGGTTGGGAGCTGGTCTGCCTGTGTAACAGGGACATCTGTTCTGACTGGGGGGTCTGTGCCTCCTGGGACAGCCTCGGGGCACCCACTGTCCCAAACCAGGCAGGTGTGGCCCTCTCTGCTGTGCCCCTGCCCCACTGGCAGCTCCTGTGTGCTGGGGGTGCTGCTTTCTGCTCACATTTAACTCTTAAACTCACGACAACACACTATTCTTTCATTTTTAGCAAATGCCACAGTGCACGTGGCACCCAGTGCCAGCTGCAGGACAAGGCTGCAGGAGCTTCATCCTGAAGAGTTTTGATGAGGTGGAGCTAATTCTCCTAAGGCAGCATCCCTGGAAATTCCTCAGAATTTCTGGAGGTTGTGCTGGGAAGAGTATTCTGTGCTTTGTCTCTCATTCCCTGTCAGTGGACGAATGGGGCCTCCCTAGCCTTGGCAGTGCCTCTAGCTGCATTATGCAGGTTTATCAATGCTGTGTCCCTTGAATTTAAGGCAAAACCACCTCAAAAAAACTCAGGGAAAGGGCCTGGGAGCACCTGGGGAGCGAGGGAAGCTCTGGCTCAGCAGTGCCTTCAGAACTGGGTGGGCTTTGCAGGACATGGCTGGAAGGAGACTAAACAGATTTAGGTTTGGCTTTGCTCAGTCTTAGAGTGGAAAATATGGGGTTGGAGGGGTTAAGATGGTACATCCAACAGATTGTAGTGCTTGGGAGCCTGGGAAAAGGGGAAAGATGGGGCAGTGTGTGAGTGAAGGAAAAGGAGAGGCCCCAGAAAAGGTGCTGCAGGAGCCCAGGTGTAAAGGCTTCAAGGGGTGTGAAATCAGACAAGGGGATGCTGGGGTGGGAATTTTCTAGAACAGTGTTTCCCTGAGGAAGCAATTCCTTAAAGAGGATGTTAACCAGCATTTCTTGCTGCCAGGGTGGCTGTGCAGGCACCAGGGAGCCTGGTGCTACCCTAAGGCAAGCTGTCTGGGGAAAATAGTAATTGCTAACTTGGGATAAAAGAATAAAAACTGAGAACCTGTTTGTGGTGTGTGGGTTTCTCTGGAGGGAGCTGGACTGTGGAATCATGAATTAGTTCCCTGATTTATTTGGAGCAGTGGGTAATACATACAGTGCTTTCCAGCTTCCTCTCCCAGGTGGTTGCAGGCTCAGGGGACTGGGAATGCCTCATCCCTGGCTTCCCAGCCCTGCCCTGGCTCCTCTCAGAGGTGCCATCCTTGCAGCACTACCTGGGTGGAGGATGTGGGAATCCATTAAGACCCCGAAGCACCCACAAAAGAGCAGCAAATCAGCACCTGTGGAGCTGCTGGAGCAAGTCCAGAGGAGGCCATGGAAGTACTCTGAGTCCTGGAGCCCCTCTGCTCTGGAGCCAGGCTGGGAGAGCTGGGGGGGTTCACCTGGAGAAGAGAAGGCTCCAGGGAGACCTGAGAGCCCCTTCCAGGGCCTAAAGGGGCTCCAGGAGAGCTGGAGAGGGACTTGGGACAAGGGATGGAGGGACAGGACAAGGGGGAATGGCTTCCCACTGCCAGAGGGCAGGGTTAGATGGGATATTGGGAAGAGATTGTTGTCTGTGAGGGTGGTGAGGCCCTGGCACAGGTTGCCCAGAGAAGCTGTGGCTGCCCCATCCCTGGAAGTGTCCAAGGCCAGGTTGGACGGGGCTTGGAGCAACCTGGGCTAGTGGAAGGTGTCCCTGCCCATGGCAGGGGGTGGAAGGAGATGGTCTTTAAGGTCCCTTCCAACCCAAACCATTCTGGGATTCAGCTCTGGGTACCAAAGAGCTGTGTCCCTCCCTTGGAGCAGACAGAAGCTTGCTGAAAAATAAACATTTATTTACATCTGAAAAGAGAGTTAATGTGTAAAATGGTCTCATGGGGGCTACATCAATCCAGGACAACTCCTGTGTGACTCCAGCATGGCACAGCCTCTTTTCTCGGTGTGCTTGAGACACCCTCTCTGTGAGATAGTGCAAGAGGCTCCCTCAGCCTGTCAGGGAAGGGGCAGGAGCTGGAGAACCTTCTGTGTCCATGTCCATGTGCTGGAGAGTCTCAGTTGCTTCCTCCAGCCTGGAGGGGCCTTTTTTGCAAGAGAAAGGAAGGAACCTGGTGAGGAGCAAGTACTCGAGAGTCTGTCCTGCTCCTGAGGGTGACAGCAAGGACCCAAGGTGATGGTGGTGACTGTAGCTGCTCCTGGCTCTTCCAGGAGAAACAGGACCAGGACAGGAGCTGGAAGCCAGACATGCAGCCCCACTCAAATCACTCTGCCTCAGCTGCCTCCCTTGCCAAGGCAGAGGTGTCAGTGCTCCTGAGCTTCCTGGGCTTCACAGGCCGCTTGGAGAGGGTGGGCTGATGCTTTGGCACCTCACAGGAAAGTGAACTCCCTGAGTCAGCCTTTTGCCACCAAAACAGAGCGTGGCTCCTGTCTGGGCCTGCCCAGCTCTCCCCCAGCAGAGGAGGAGGTGGTTGGGCTGGATGCTGGACCTGGGATGCAGAAGGTTGGGCTTGGCTCCAGCAAGCTGCTACTCTCAAATCCTTCACTCCCTTGTGACTTTGAGGCTCCATCCTTGGCTCTGCCCACAGCGAGGGGGGACCTGCTGCAGAAGGGGCTTAGAGAGGAGGAACCAAGCAGTGTGTGCAGCTGAAGAGCAGCGAGGAGGGGATGGGTGCTGGAGCCACGTTCTGTGTCCGTGATGAGGATGGAGAGAAGGTGCAGAAGCAGCACCTCACTGTGAAGAGCTTCACAAGATGACTGAGGATGTCTGGGAGCTGTCAGGGGATTGGTGAGATGGTCCTTGGGTAGGACCCAAGAAGAGGAGGACAGGGATGCCTGTCCTGATGTGTTGGTGCCACAGGAAGGTTTGGGCAGAGGGGCAGCAGGTCCATGCAACAGTGCCAGGCTGAACAAAGTCTCCCATTCCCACTGCTGAGGGTCAGGCTCCCTCCAGCTGCCGTGATCCTGTCCCACATGTGCCTGAGCAGTGTGGGTGGGCAGGGAGTTCCCCTGCACACGGCTGGTGGGTGCTGGCAGGGGTTGCTGATGGTGCACAGGTGGTGGTAGGAAGCAGTAGCTGCTGCCCATGCAGCCCCAAAGTCCAGGCAAGGTGAGGCCCCCAAGGAGGCAACGATGCCTGGCAATGTCTGGGGTGCCCATCTCCCCCTTGGACCACAGTGGGGGGATGTACCTTCCAGCAGCTCCAGTGTGGCACAGCCAAACGCTGGTCCCAGCCTGGACATCCCAGGTGGGCAGTGCCCAGCACAGCTCCCCACAGCCCCCCACCCTCCAGCTGGGCCCTCGTGCCCGTCGTGGACAGCAGCCCCTGGTGCCGTGGCTCTGTGGGCAGTCACTGCATCACTGGGCACAGCAGAGCAGCCCCTGGTGCCCTGGCTCTGTGGGCAGTCACTGCACCACTGGGCACAGCAGAGCAGCCCCTGTGCCCTGGCTCTGCAGGCAGTCACTGCATCACTGGGCACAGCAGAGCACTGGGTAGTCGAGCTTCCAGAGCTGCCACTTCTTCTTCATCTCAGACTTCACCTGACACGGAGGGGAGAAGGGGGGCTCGTCCCTGGCCACACCCTTCCCGCAGGCACAGGATGGGATGGGAAAGGTGGGCAGGAGACACTGTGGCAGGTACGTACCTCCTTGTTGGCAAAGCAGTACAGCACGGCCACCAGGAAACCCTGCAGGGAGAGCAGGGAGTGAGCCCCCACTGCCATCCCTCTCCTGGGGCTGGGATGGGCTTAGACTCCCCCCAGACCATTTCTGGGTGCTTTTAGAGCTGAAGTCCCTCTGCCACCGCTGCTCCAGAGAGCACAGGAGGCACCGTCACACACGGCACCGGGGCAGAGGGTGGGAGAGGTGGTGTCCCCCACCCCATGGAGGCACCACGGGGAGAGCAAGCTGGAAGAGGCCCCCCCAGTTCTTGCTCCATGATGTGCTCAGAGCAAGGACGTGTCACACTCGTGCCTCACCTGGAAGGAGTTGAGGAAGAGGGTGAAGAACACCTTGATGTAGCGCAGAATGCCCGTGGTTTGCTCATCAGTGGCGAAGATGAAGACAACCTCATGGATACCAAAGAGGGGGATGAGGGTGAGGGTGGCTTTGGCCAGCCTGGAAGAGTGTAAGGGGACCCTAAATCTCCAAGTTAAAGTCAGGGTGGTCATTTAAGGACGTGAAGGGTGGAGGAGCAGGGTGGGGATGGCTGGGGAGGGGGAGGTGGATGTGGTGTTATCCCGGGACCAGGGATGACCCCCTCCCTCCCTCCCAGCTCACCGCAGCTTGTAGTCAGCGTAGCCCTTCTGGTTGGCTCGGAGCTTGGCCAGGATCACCTTGAGGATCCGCATGAAAATGAGCAGGTTGATCTGGGGAGGGGGAGACAGTGCAGGGGCACACAGAGCCCGGCACCCCACCCCTCGCAGCCCACCCTGGCCATGGCATGCACCCTCAGGGCCTGCAGCAGATGGCACATCCTGTGCTGCCAAGGCTGCTGCTGCTGCCCTTCCTCCCTTCCTCCCTTCCCAAAATCCTGACCAGGAAGCAGCAGGGACCGACCCCAGCCCCCTTCTCTGGAGTTAAACACCCTCCTTCCTGCACGGAGCCTGGGGGTTGGCAATTTGCCGGTAAAAAAACAACCCCGTGTCCATTTCCCTGATCCTTGGAGGCCAATCCACCTTCCTGCACTCTGCTGAGAGCTTCCCCAAGGGATCACAGCCCTGCCCAGGGCTGGGAGCCAGGGGCTGAGCTGCTGTTGTCCAAAAAGGCACAGGGGTAGCAGGTGTCCCCTACCAGGGAGGCGAGCAGGATGGGGATGCGGATGATCCACCAGTAAGCCATGTTCTCATTCAGTGCCCAGCACCTGCCCAGGGAGACACGGAGAGCAGCACCATCAGCCTGTGCCAGGGGTGCAGGATGAGGCCAAGAGCTTTCCAGCCCCAGCCAGGTGGCTCAGGGACCCTGAGCAGCCTCTGTCCAGTCCCAGCCTGGGGCTGAGCATCCCCGAGGAACCCCCACCCATCCCCACTCACTCTGCATTCTCCTTCAAGTACTTGGCGGCCATCCAGGGCACCACGAACACCACGGGGGTCCCTGCAAGTCACACAACAAACCCTGTAAAACCAAGCACCCTCCTGAGATTAGAAACCAGTCCCGGGGCAGGGGCACCGTGGGGACACCCAGGGTCAGCAGGGTGTCCCTCCCCACACCCTCCCAGGGCTGGTTTGGACCACGATGCCCTCCAGCACTGGGTACTGTGCCCTCCCCACCGCACACCCAGGTGGTCCCTACCCCAGCCCAGGTAGAGGTAGAGCCTGTAGTAATTCTTCTCGGAGAACACGGCCCCGATGAGCAGCTTGTAGAGGTAGATGGCTTCCACCAGGAACCAGTAGTGGTTGGCCAGGATGCAGTACTGCATCAGCACCTGTGCCACCCGGCACCCCAGCGCAGCCTGCCACGGGAGAGCCACCATGGGGCTGGCTGGGTGCCCACCCACAGCACCACGGGCACCCCGAGAGCTCCCCCATGGAATGCACAGGCACCCCAAAATGTTTTCCATCAGGTGTATGGTATTACACAGGCACCCCAAAATGTTTTCCATCAGGTGTATGGTGTTACACAGGCACCCCAGGTGCTCACCCACAGGGGCACAGGTACCCCAAGAGCTCACCTACAGGGGCATGGGCAGCACAGGCCCCCCAGAAGCTTGTCCACTGGGTGTATGAGCACCCAAGAACTTGCCTACCCACACACACAGGTACCCCAAGACCATCCACTGGGTGTATGGGCAGCACCAGCACCCCAAGAGCTCACCCACCAACATGGGGCTGCACAGACACTGACACCCCCTGCTCACCCCTCCCCAGGGGCAGGATCTCCACCCCACCTCCAGCCCAGCATCGACTGGGGTCCCCCCAGGGCAGCACTTGCCTCGTGGCTCAGCAGGTTCTCCCAGTCAGTCACCTGCACCAGCTCCACGCCCCAGCGCCGCTCCAGCAGCGCGTCCTTCACCATCACCGAGGTCGCCCGCAGCCCAAAGGAGGCGAAAAGGTTGGCATGGATGTAGTTCCTGGTGCAGCGGAGGTTCCTGCCGAGTGCCAGGGGTCAGGCAGGGCACCCCTGGGCTCAGCTGTCACCAGCTGGCAGGGACCAGAGCCGTGTCCCCCCAGCTCTCCCACCTGAAGACGGTGAGGACGAGCAGGGCAGAGATGAGGGTGAGGAGTGACAGCGAGTACCCCACGGTGTAGAGCACCTTGAAGCTCACCATCAGCCTGCGGGCACCCTCCTGCAGGGGAGCACAGCACCCTGAGCCCGGGTGGGCAGCACCCGCTGAGTGGTTGGGGTGTCTGTCCCTCCCTGGCCAGGGTGCTCTGTCCATCTCTGCCCAGTGCCCAGGCCAGGGTCCCACCTCCTCAGCGGTGACCTCCATCTCCTCCTCGCACTGTGAGTAGTCCCTCCAGGGCTGGCTGCCATTCACCATCACCCACTGCCCGTCAGCACCGCACCGGCGACTCACCAGCCCGTGTTTCACTGTGGACACAAAGCACCAGCACGTTCCCCTTGGGCTCCCCCAAACCCCACTCCTGGGATGATAGGTCAGACCCTGCTCAGCCCCAAAGACCCTCTTCCAGGGCAGGCATGAGCAGGGCATAAGCTGGCTATGCTCTGTGCCCCACGTGTGCCCTTACTGCTGGTCTGCTTGTGGGTCTCTCTCCCCCCATCATCAGGCAGGAGGGGAACCCTGAGAGCCTCTCCCCCACCCAGCACGGCTCTGCTCTGGCTCCCAGGGGTGGGATGGCAGAAGGGGATCCTCACCTTTCTCAAACCAGGGCAGGTAGAAGGGGCAGGAGACGTTCACAGCGGTGCCGGGGCTGCCGTCGGGCCAGCAGGCGTACATGTCGAATGTCCGGTTGCAGAACAGCCCTTGCAATGGCAGCGAGGGGGGAAAAGCTGATTGTCAGACACTGCTGGCATGGCCACATCCAGCTCTGCCATCCCAGCACCTCTGAGATGACTGGTGTCACCCTGAAGGGGCCGTGGTACCCCACACCAGCCCTGTGCATTCCAGCCCTGGGCATCCCATCTGAGATATGGAGATCCTTGTCAGTCCTCCTGCTCATGGGGGTGACCAGCACAGAGGATGCTGGAGGAGGGATAAACCCCAGCCCTGGCTCTGTGTCCCCCGTGTCTGATGCTGAGCTGAGCACAGCTGGGTACCTGCTGGGTAGGGCTCGCTCGCCATCCTCCTCAGACACTCGTCACGGTACCGCAGCCACTCCTCAAAGGTCTTCTCCAGCACCTTGGCCCCGCCGTGCTGCAAGTCCAGAGCTGGGTCAGAGCCTCCTGCCCCATCACCTCCATCCCCCTGGCAAACCACTGTGTGCTGCATCCTCGGGATGGGCAGGGACACGGGACGGAGCCAGGACAGAGCCTGCTGGCCGTGGGTCAGAGGCTGGCAGTGTAACCCTGCTGCCCCATGGCCCCAGCTCGGCCCTCACCGGCACGGAGAACAGGCACATCCAGGTGAGTTGGACAAGGCTCCCAAGGCATCCAGATCCAAGCATGTCCCTCATGGCTGCTCCCACCAGCCTGCAACCAGTGCTCCCAGTGCCGAGGTGCATCTCAGGCTGAGCTGGGGACTCAGATCCTGGGGGAGAGGTGGAGGAATGAGCATGGCTCTCCTCTGCCGGCCACCCACACCAGAGTGGAGGAGGAGATGTGCTTCTCCTCAGGCAGCAGAGATGATCCCGGGCATGTCCTGGGCTGCCACAGCCCTGGATCACTTCCCTGCTGGAGACAAAACCTCGGGGAGTGCCAGGCAGAGTAGCCGGGGTGTAACTGGATCACACCTCTTGGATGAGCCTTTTGCCAGCTTCTACCCATCACTGCCGGCCCCGGGCTGCGACGGTGAAACTGCAGGGGAGCAAAAGCCACCGTGACAGCCCCAGTGCCACCGCTGCCACCCCAGCAGGTGGCACTGGGTGACCCGGGAAGGGGCCATGGCTCCAGGGCCAGGAAGCAGGGAGTCCTCTCCAGGGGTTCCCCGGGACACCCTTGCCCCGCTGCCGGCCAGAGGATGGGAGGGCCCAAACCAGCTGCACCCCATCCCCTCCCGCCCCGACCCTGCTCGCAGAGACCCCTCGCAGCCCAGCCGGGGGGTTCGGGGGCAGGAGGAGCACAGTCCCCCCCGGGGCTCCCCGGTCCTCCCGCGGCTCCCCATCGCTCCAGACTGGACGACCCCAGCCCGGGGCCCCGCTTCCAGCACGGACCCGCCGGTCTGGGTCCCCCTGAGGATCCCCACCAGGTCCCGCTCGGTGTCTGCGGGGGTCCCGTTGCTCCGCCCGCTTACCCGACTCCGCGGTACCGGCAGCCCGGGCAGTCCCGGTGTCACGGTATTCCCAGGATTACCGGCAGCTGTTACGGTGTTCCCGGTGTTCCCGACAGCACCGGTGATCCCGGTGTTTCTGGTAGCCCTGCAGCCCCAGTGTTCCCGTTGTTCCCAGTGTTCCTGGTATTCCCGACGTTCCCGGTGTTTCTGGCAGCCCTGCAGCCCCAGTGTTCCCGGTATTCCCGGTGTTCCCGGTGTTCCCGGTGTTCCGAGCAGCCCCCGCTCCGCGAGGTGAACGCGGCGGCGACCGAGCGGCGTCTGCGGCGGAGCCACCTCCTGCCAGCGCCGTGCCCCGACCGGAGGAGGAGTTTCGGGGGGGGCTTCGGGGGGTTTAGGGGGGAGTTTGGGGGCGGCACCGCCCCCGGGGGCTCGGGCCGCCCCGAGGGGATCCGCGGGGTCCCGGTGCCGCTGCCCCCGCGCCTACGGAGCTCCGGCACCGACCCACGGAGCCCCCCGTGCATCGCACAGGAATGGGGACGGGGATCCAGGTCCAGCCCCATCCAGAGTCCCCGGCAGAATGACAGGAGAACAGGGGTGGGGGTCCAGGTCCAGCCCAGCTGAGGGTTCCTGTCCCCTGAGGGACAGGGATGGGGGTCCAGCCCTCAAACAATGAGTCACAGGGATCGGCCCAAGGGTCCGGACTCCTCCAGTCTCCCCCCGAGCCCTGTCCTCCCCATCATGCAGCCCCAGGGAGAGTCACAGGGGTCCTTCACCTTCCAGACTTGGTGCCCCTCTGGCTGTTCCCCGGGCTGGGTGCTGTGAGGTGCTGGCACAGTGACAGCCCCTGTGCAGGCAGGGTGGGCTGCTGGGGCCACACTCTCCTGGGGACCAAGAGGCTCTGGGGACAATACTGGATCCAGCACAGCCCATGGCTCCCATCATCCATCCAGGGAAACCTCAAGGGCAGGGACAAGCCGTGGGACAAGCCTGGTGGTCCTGGTCACATCCTGGCAGTGGGGAGGGAGTGGGTCTCTGCTGACCCACCACCACGGGCAGAGCTGGGGAAGGTGGTTTTCCATCAGTGGAGCAGGTGGGGGAGATTGCTCTGGGGGGCCCCAAATACCAGCAGCCCCTCTGGGCTCCCACCTTCCCTCCAGTGCAGCCATGCTCCCCTCCACCCCTGCACGCTGGTGCTGGCCCTGCCCTGCAGCAGAATGCCACGTTCATACCTCAAAACTGCCTGAATGCACCAGAAAATGCATTTATTTTGCAAAAATAATGCTCTTTGCCTCAAAACTGCTGCAGTGGGCTCAGAGCAGACACACGAGTCAGATGGATGAGGAGTCACATCTGTTGCTCCAGCCATGCAAGCATTGTCTGGTTATTCCAAGTGACAAATAACGCATTTTGGAGCAGCCCAGGGTAATGATTTGCTGTTTGGAGGGAAAACAAGCCCTTATGTATCTCCCTCAGCACAAGCCAGCACTGGGGTGTTTGCTCATTAGCAGATTATGGACTTGGGACAAGGGCCTGGGAAGGGGACAAAGGGGAATGGCTTCCCACTGACACAGAGCAGGGATGGGATATTGGGAAGAAATTCTTCCCTGTGAGGGTGGGGAGGCCCTGGCACAGGTTGCCCAGAGAAGCTGTGGCTGCCCCATCCCTGGAAGTGTCCAAGGCCAGGCTGGATGGGACTTGGAGCAACCTGGGTTGGTGGAAGGTGTCCCTGCCCATGACAGGGTGGAATGCGATGAGCTTTAAGGTCCCTTCCAACCCAAACCATTCCATGATTCTGTGATAACTTCATCCCATGGCACCTGTGGAGGATGATTCCAGCCATGTCCCCCTTCCCAGACCCAGACATCCTACATCTTCACCCCAAAGAAATCCCTGTGTTCATGTTAGATGTGAATCCATCTAATACCAGAAGGAGCATGGGGTGGGCTCATCTCACAGGGATGCTGGATTTGGAGGACAGCCCAGGGCTGCAGCACGTGGGTGCAATTCCCGAGGGAGGGATCACAGTCCTGCAGACACCACCCTCCCAAACAGCACCAGGGCAGAGGGTCCATCTGGGTGGAATTTTCTCACTAGTCCTTTGAATGGGGACATGAGGAACAAACTGTTCCTCTCCACATTGATGAACCTCAGACAGGGTCTTCATAGTGACTGCAGCATTTGCAGCTCAGCTGGGGCCAAATCCTGATCCACGGGGTGCTGCAGAGCCAGCTGTGAGTATGGGAGGGGACTGGGACAGCCCTCTGTGCTCCAGGAGCTGCTCTTCTGCCAGGGTGGGTTTGGGACACAGCTGACACTGAGGAGGCACAAGTGACAAATTTATGTGTTTAAGGTGTTGGGTTCATCACTGGAGCTGGGAAAATCACCCCAGAATGGTCTCATGCACTGAAGGTGTTGGTGCCTCTTAGGCAACTTGAGAGCTGCAGGGGTGCTCAGGAAGGGAAGAGCATCTTCCAGGGCACTCCAGCATCAAATCATAGAATTGTTTAGGCTGGAAAAGCCCTCTAAGGTCATCGAGTCCAATTGTTAACTCAGCAGTGCCAAGGCCACCACTAAACCAAGTGCCACATCTACTTGTTTTTTGGACACTTCCAGGGATGGTGACCCCACCACTGCTCTGGCGAGCCTGTGCCAGTGCCTGACCACCTTTTCAGTGAAGAAATTTTCCTAAATATCGGATCTAAACCTTTCCTGGCACAACTTGAGGCTGTTTCCTCTGGTCTTGTCACTTGTTACCTGGGAGAAAAGTCAGTGTCACCATGGGCTAGACATTGAACCAGACAACCCCACAGGGCTAAATCCCTTCCTCAGAGGACCATTACTAGCAGAAACACCTCCTGAAGGCAGATTTCACTTTATCTATCCATTATTAATGGGGAAATCCATCCGTGAGTATTATTGCAGGCTCTGCTAATCAAGCTGCTTTTCTCCCGGTACAGAAGCAATTGGCAGAACGGAAACGCTCATCAACACATCCTGACCTGCAATTATTCAGTGAACTTCTCAGAAAAGCCTGTCTGAGCAGTTACCAGGTAGAGAAATCCATCAGCATGTGAATGCCCCCGAATCAGCGTGAGGAGGGGCAGGGCTCAGCGCCGCTGATCGATTCAGCAACACTTGCTGATCCACCGGGAGGCTGCTGGGAGGTCAAGGGCACCAAAGACTTGTGGAGATGCTAAAAAATGAAGCGGTTTTTAATATATTTAATATCAGCAGATGGTGCTGTTTAAGGTTACTGCAAAAGTGCAGCCTGATGAGATGCAGACCCACGGGAGCACGGAGCTGTGTGCCCTGGGATTTCCTCTTTTTGGAAGCTGCTCCCTGCAACCCAGAAAAATCTGATTCCTGCTTGAACCTCTCTGATGCAGGAGAAAAATGACACCAAGCTGTGCCCAGCCACAAAGTGCTTCCTCTTTCTGCAGGGTAGAGAGTTGGGATGAGTCTCTCTCCCAAGACAGAGGGACAGTGACATCACCTTCTGGGGGACATGAGTCACTCCAGCATCATTGTGGGGCTGGACCATCCCAACTCACCTCCAGATTTCTGCTTTGAGGTTATTCCTGTAAAGACCATGAGAAATGTAATGTTGAGTGTCCCATTATGTGACTGAGCATCTGTCTGATGACCACAATATGATTATAAAGTCAACCTGTCATGACAATGTCAACATAGCCAGAAACCAGGCAAACACTCTAGCCAGCCTACCCAATATGACCACTCAGATTTTGTAGGGAATCAGCTGCTTGGACATTTATTCCCAAAAAATGTTGGTTTTAGGAGATACTGAGAGACAAAGGGCTTCAGAGGGACAGAGAGAGATGCTGTTTTGAGTCAAAAAAGAGAAAGCTTCTAAGTCATGTCCCAGGAGGTGCCTTGGAGGGTGGCCCCAGCCAGCACCTTGCAGGGATCGTACAAGACCTAGAGCTCCGAGCTTGGGGTTTTTGCACAGTGTTTGCAGGATAGGAGCATCCATTTCCACTTCATTTCCATCCTATTTCCATCCTGTTTCCATCCCCTCAGGAGAGGACAGCCAGGGACCCCACTCCATCACAGTGTTCCATAGCAAAGGTCACTTCCCAGCCACTGTTCTGCGATCAATGACTGTTCCCAGCTCATAATGGCACATTGGATTTGGCACTGACTCAGAGGCCCTCTGGATTTGGCACTGACTCAGAGGCCCTCGGCAGCTGCTGTCCCTCCAGTGAGCCCCAGGGCACAAGGGCTGTGAGTCTGTATTCAAAGCTGACTGAGTCTCTTTGGTTTCCTAATTCAAGCTGGAAGGCTTAAATGATAAGATCAAGAGCTTCTCTGAACATCACCTATATTCACATCCTGCCCCAGGGCTGGACTCTTTGTACCATACTCTGCTGAAGGGCACAGCTTCCCTTCTTCCGTATGTCAAGCCTTGGCAAGCAGTACAGCATCCATATAACCACCCTGGACCTGGAATTCCAGGGCAGATAAAGGGATGCATCTTTTATGTCCTCACTGCCTTTTAGGAGCCTGGTTGAAACTTCTTCTGTTACTACCTATTTAAGATTTTGGATTTATCTGTATCCAGCTCTGGGGCCCCCAGCACAAGAAAAACCTGGCTGGAGCTGCTGGAATGAGTCCAGAGGAGGCCATGGAGATGCTCCAAGGGCTGGAGCCCCTCTGCTCTGGAGCCAGGCTGGGAGAGCTGGGGGGGTTCACCTGGAGAAGAGAAGACTCCAGGGAGAGCTGAGAGCCCGCTCCAGGAGAGCTGGAGAGGGACTTGGGACAAGGGATGGAGGGACAGGACACAGGGAATGTTTTCCCACATCCAGAGGGCAGGGTTAGATGGGATACTGGGAAGGAATTTCTCCCTGTGAGGGTGGGGAGGCTCTGGCACAGGTTGCCCAGAGAAGCTGTGGCTGCCCCATCCTTGGAAGTGTCCAAGGCCAGGTTGGACAGGGCTTGGAGCAACCTGGGATAATGGAAGGTGTCCCTGCCCTTGGCAGGGGGTGGGACTGGATGAGCATTAAGGTCCCTTCCAGCCCAAACCAGTCTGGGATTTGGTGATCTATCCATTGCCTGTCTTTTTTCCTGTCCAGACTGGCTGGCTCGAGCCACATCAGCATCTCACCTGCTGGTGTGGAAATAAGGGTGGCCAACAGCTTCCTGCAGGGGTGTGATGGATGAGGGGATGGGGATGAGGGTGGGGATGGGGATGGAGCTGTGCTTTGTTTTACAGCCCCGTGGTGGAACTCCAGATGACTTTCTAAAGCTGAAACACAGCCCTGAAGATGACTTATAAAAATCC